AGATACAAAGGCCCAACTATATAGACCGGAGGTAACAGTTAGCTAAACATATAATCTGTGGTGTGTATGGAGAATCATCCTGTGTCATATTCCATGCCCACATCAGTGCCACAGCTTCAGGTTGATTGTAGCTCTCAGTACTTTTGACCTCATTCCACATATTCTTTCCCCACTGAAATCTTTAGTTATTCAGGTTTCCACTTATGCTGGGGTTGTTTTAAATTCATCATCCCAAGTAATAAAAAATGTTATGGGATGTGGATGTGTACAGGAGAAATTGTGGAACTATTGTGCTGGGTTTCCCTGGGTGACATCTCAAGGATGCCTATGATAAACAATATCGGTGGGACTTTGGTGTCTGTTTGCAATTTTTTGCTGAATTAGATAACCCTGGCCCTAAATTTAGAGCTAAAATTTTTTTATTAAATAATTTCAGCCCCTAAGATTTGTTCACAAGCAAAAAAAAAATTAAGTGCAATGATTTAAAACATTAAATACACATTGAGTTAATGAAAACAGGAATAAGAATCCTGGATCCTCCTTATTTTAATTGGGAAATGGAATCAGGATCCTGAGCCAGGGAGGCATGGTGATCTGTCCCAGGCCTTGTTGCCGAAAGCTTGGTCCTGTCCCCGATGACAATCCAATAATGAGGACATGCATAGCTTTGAGGAAAAGGAAAAAGAAGCTTTATTGTTTTGCTAGCAAAGGAGAAACACAGGGGATTCCTGTCCCAGAGGCTGTGATTCTGCCTCTGGAATAGGGAGCTATTAAAGAAGTGGCTCAAAGGCTACATTCCGTGTGTTCTCTGTTGGAGTTGTAATTCACTTGTTAATTTGGGTATAGTCACTTCTGAGATCTTCTGGTACCATCCTCCAAATCTGGATTACTTCATTCCTATTTTGATGTCTACTGAAGGACAGATAAATCTGCCTAAAATGGAGAAGAAAGGTAATTCTGTTTCCCCTGAGATTAGGGAGGATCAGAGAAAGAAGAAGAGAGAAACATGTCCTTTTTCAAAATCAGTTGCAGTGCCAGTGCGGCAAGGGTTATATTCAAAGCATCAAGTGAACCACTGTTACAGCCTGAAGCCCGAGCCTCCATCCCACTCTGTTATCTTCCTGGTTGAAGAGTCTGCCTTCCAAATGAAGGAAGTCCTAGGAGACAGCCCTACTCAAACAAAATGTTTAAGAACTGAAAGAAGGAAATAGAGAGAGAGGAGAGGTGGCTCAGCAGCTACACAGGGTGGAGTGGAGACTGAGACCCCATTTACAGCCTGTGTACATAGGAAAGTGATGAAGGGGGGATTAGGGAAGGGCCTTTAAGGTGTTTTCAGTCCTAGATAACAATTTCCTTTCTCATAAAGATGGAGTGTTTGGGATTTCTTTTCTTGACAACTGAGTATTGATGGGGGTTTAGGTCAGGCTGAGTCAGAGTTACCTTGAGGTGACTTGTTCTAAGACAGAGGTATGTTTCAATACAGCATAGCCTGTGTCAATTTCTTCCTAACAAGAAGAAACTATTTTTTTTTGGAAAAATGCATAAGTCTTTGAAATTCCTGTTGTTATTTTACCTAATAACATGTACTAGTTGGGAGAAAAGATTTATATCATTTCACTATCACCTCATCTTAATTTATGCTACTTTTTTTTTTTTTGGTGCTGAGGATTGAACCCAGAGCCTTGTATATGCAAGGCAAGCACTCTACCAACTGATCTATATCCCCAGTGCTATGTTACCTTTTGATGTACTTACAAGATAGTAAACATTCTTATTTTGTATATTTTGGTTTTTACAATTTTTTTCTTGATGATTACGTTTAAAAATTTTTTCTTAGTTGTAGGTAGACACAAGGCCTTTATTTTTATTTATTTATTTTTCAGTGTGGTGCTGAGGATTGAACCCAGTGCCTCACCTACACTAGGTGTGCACTCTACCATTGAGCCACAACCCCAGCCCCTGATGATTACACTTTTAAAAGGCACTAAAAGTTCAAAGTCATTGCTATTTTCTTAGAGAGGAAGATGCTTCATCTGTAGTAACTGCAGTCTTCTCAGAACCTCCCATGTCTTAGACTTTGGGAGTGGATACTATCTCTTTATTTAGCTATGTAAAGATACAAAGCTTTGTAGCAACCAAGGTAAAAGAGAAATGTTATTTTAAAGTTGAACAGATCTCTGATCCTTCCAGTGGGTTATGATTTACCAACCCCCAACTCATTCAGGAATATGATCCTCAGAGTAAAATGCTAATGGTATTAAAAGGGTGAAAACTTAATCTAACTGATGTTTAGAGGGGGGAGCCTCTGTGAAGTTATTAAGACTAGATAAGGTCATTGCATGGAATCTCCATGATTGAGTCCTCGTGGTTTTTTGCATAGAGGGAGACACACATTTCCTATCTTTTGCCATAGGACCCCATGCACTGCCTCAGGACTCTGTCAGCAGGAAGGCCGTTACCACATGAGGCCCCTAGACCTTGCACTTTTAGAACCATGAACCAAAATTAACTTTTCTTTATAACATATCCAGCGTTTGGAATTTCATTATAGCAATGAAAAGTAGACTAATTCTATCCCCAAACCAATAAAGATGTATTAGAATCCTTTCTGTTACAAGCAACAAAACTCCATCTTATTCTAGATTAAGAAATACAGGTAATTTATTAACTCCTAACTAAAGTGTTTGAGGGTGTATCTGAATGGTTTCAGGCTTGACTGGATCCAGTTTTTCTTCTCTCCTAGACTTTGGTTGGCTATGTATTGTCATTATTCATAGATATACTCTTCACACAATGGGAAAGGTGGCTATTAGCAGCCTCAGGTTTATATCCTTGTGGATTTTATCAGTAAGAAAGAAAAATCCTCTCTCATCAAATGTTGACACACAAATCTCAGAAATAATTGTTTGGCCCTGTTTGAATCATATGCTTCATACTGAAACAATCACTGTGGATACATGATCAACATGGATTATGTGATCACCTCATGGGACAGGAGGCAGACAGGTAAGACCTGGTGGTTGGCAGCACTAATTGCACCAAATGGCGCATGTGTGCGTGCGTGTGTGTGCGTGCGTGCGTGCGTGTGTGTGTGTGTGTGTGTGTGTTTTGTGGGGAGTTCTCCAGAGGAAAACAAAAGTGCTATTGCTAGAAGAAATAAGGGCAAAAGCAATAAATGTCCACGCAGGGCATACATGCTAAAAAGGGCACACACAGCACGCTCACAGTGTTTATGGTCTCTGTAAGTAAAGAACTAACAAAAACGCTTCACCTGCTGCATGCAAATTTAAACTTTGGTTAACTTTCTGGCTTGTGTCCTTGCAAAGTAGGTAAAGATAGAAGATTAACTACCTTACTTAGCAACATTGCTTCTGATAAAAGGACTCCTAATTAGTGCATTATATCTGGACTGGGAGGAGCTAAAGATGAATTTTAAGTACCCGAGGAAGCCAGACTGTGGATTTTTCTTGTATATAGTGATTGTTGTAACCAGCAACATGTCTTATGGGGACCCTGGAAGGTGCACCCAAGGGATGATTATAAGAAACATTTGTTCCTGTGGGCCTTCTAAGCTGAGGGGGCTCCCACACCCATGCAATGTGGCTTTTACAACTAAGTCACTTTGCAACTAAGCTGTCACCTGAAGGGCCAAAGACAATAACTCCTGGACAGCTGTGTGGACCATGATATGAAGAGGCACTGCTGACATCAATAAGCTGCAGCTTCTGTTCTACATTTTCTGAGCAGTTTGCTGCCAAATGTGGCCTGTGATAATTGCTTGGGTCTGAAGTATTTAGATGAACCTAAAATGATACCCTGGTGCACATTTAAATTACTCTCATAGTTCTGTGACGTAGGGAAGTTGCTTTAAGGAAGCCCTTCAGTGACATGACAGAAACCCAACCCAAACTATTTTAAGGAGAAAAAAAAAGGCTTTATTGTTTCAGTCAAAGCAGTCATATGAATGGTTCAAGTATACCTGAATCCAGGAACTCAAATGATATCATCAGGGCCCCTTTTTTTTTTTTAAAGAGAGAGAGAATTTTAATATTTATTTTTTTTTCTTAGTTATCGGCAGACACAACATCTTAGTTTGTATGTGGTGCTGAGGATCGAACCTGGGCCACACGCATGCCAGGCAAGCGCGCTACCGCTTGAGCCACATCCCCAGCCCCATCAACAGGGCTCTTAATCTCTTTCTACTTTTCAGTTTGCTTTGCACTGTGCTAGTTACTGATAGCTTAGCTGATGACACCAAAGTAAAAATAATATGTGTCCAGAAAAAGAAATAAGAAAGAAAGAAAGAAAGAAAGAAACCCACGGATGACTCTGATTGACTGGCCTGATGTGGCATGTGACCGTTATCATTTTGCTATATTTAAAATGGAATCTTGTCTTCTGGCTGTGAGGAAGCACCTCCTCTGATGCTTGGGAGGGTCTATTCTTCTTCTTTTATTTTATTCTCTTATTCTTATTTCTAAAATTTTTAAAAATTTGTTTTAATTAGTTATGTATGACAGTAGAATGCATTTTGATACATTATATATAATGGAGTATTTTCTCATTCTTCTGGTTATACATGATGTAGAATCCCACTAGTCATATAGTTATATATGTACATAGGGTAATAATGTCTGATTCATTCTACTATCCTTCCTACCCCCAAACCCCTCCCCTCCTTTCAGTCCCTTCTACCTAATCTAAAGTAACTCTTTTCTTCCCTAGCCATCCCCAATGTGAATTAGCATCCGCATATCAGAGAAAACTTTCAGCCTGGGAGGGTCTCTTTTGAACAGTGCTTCTCTTTGTTACCATGAAACTGAGTCCATGTTTTGAGTGACAGCCCAAAATTGAATCTGATTTGGGGTCAGAAATCTTGTCAACTCCCTCCCCTAATTAGTTTGAAATGCTATGGCCAGAAGGACCTTGCTGACCACCTCGTTACCCTTAAAATGTTGTCAAGTGTGTAATAAATGCTAGAGTTTGTGATTTATTTTCAGAGAGGAAGGAAACCATTTCTTTTGGCAGCCGAGAGAGGCCACGTTGAAATGATAGAAAAACTCATCTTTCTCAATCTGCATACTTTGGAAAAGGACAAGGTGAGCTGGATTTTGATTTCTTTGCTGAAAGGGTAGTAACAATTGGTGTGTAGATTTGGTGATGGCATTTTGGCCTACAATAGATTTGGATATTTGAACCATCCAGGTGAAATTCATTCAGTTTTGCTGTGGATTACCCAGATTGGCAGTTTTGTTCCATAAATGCTTTGAATTCAGTTGACTATGTGGATACTTTCCCACTGTCAACTGCAACCCTCTCCCCTCCTCCCCTGAGGTCTGCTGTGGTCTCAAATCTCACATAATTGGGAAGGGAAAAACACCAGGGTAGATATCTGTATCTATATCAACATCTTTAAATTTTTTTTTAGTTATAGATGGACACAATATATTTACTTTGTTTATTTATTTTTATGTGGTGCTGAGGATCGAACCCAGTGCCCTACATGTGCAAGGCAAACACTTTGCCACTGAGCCACATCCCAGCCCTATATGAACATCTTTGATGATTTTCTTAAGAGAAATTCCTATATTGTGGAATTGTGGGTAAAGGGTTCTACACTTCTAAAATTCTTTTGAAGCAGGCTGTGGTAATGCACACCTGTACTCCTAGGAGACTGAGGAAGGAGGATAGCAGGTTCAAAGCCAGCCTCAGTAACTTAGCGAGGCTGTAAGCAACCTAGTGAGACCCTGTCTCAAAATAAAAAATAAAAAGGCTAGGGATATCGTTCAGTAATTAAGAGCCCTTGAATTCAATCCCTGGTACCAAAAAAGTAGAAAATAAAAAATAAAATTAAGAAAATAAAATTATTTTCTAACATATGATATGATATATGTTACTAAAATTACCTCTGAGAAATCTTTAACTAGTTCACCCTCACATGGATTATGTGGAATTACTTTTATTCTCCCACATTTTGCTAGCAAACTGATAAGAAAGGTGAACAAGGAGCATCAATGGATTTTTTTTCCTTACTGGTCCACTTAGCTATGTCTTCATTTAAAACTTAAAAATACACAAATCTTAAAAAAAACTGTAGATAATGTGGCCCACATTCTGGTCTGTGGCTTTAACCAAAAAGAAAGCTTCTAAAAGTCCCACTGCAGCCCTGCAGCCCTGCAGCCCTGACAATTGGAGAGGTGTGCTCCTTGGCACAGGAGATTCTACCTGCATTGTGTCTCTGTTGCAGGAAGGAAACACGGCCTTGCACCTGGCTGCAATGCATGGCCACAGTCCTGCAGTTCAGGTGCTGCTAACTCAGTGGCAGGAAGTCAATGAGACCAATGAGGTATGTGGAAATACTCATTCCAGCTGGACTCAGGACTTAAATGGGGAAGAGTCAGAGGAACAGCTTCAAGAATGGAATTGGAGGAAGACAAAGATATTAGTGCCACAGCCTGTAAAATGTGATGCTAAAATATTTCTACTTTTTTTAATTTGAGAAAAAAGTAAACATAAATAGTAGTTTTATATTTTTTCACACTAAAGAATTATCTTATATTCATCTTGTATTATATTACATTATCTTATATTCAACTTATATTCATCATTTTGCCCTTTCAGTTTTCTTTGTGTATGTGTGTGTATATATTTAAAATGTACATTTTTAAAAGAATATATATGATGTGTATGTATGTATTTGTATGTGTTGTGTGTGTGTGTGTGTGTATTACACATATATGTTTAAACACAAATATGTTTTTAGCATATGCCCAGAATTCATTTAAGTAAGCTTTGGCTCTTGGACATTTAGTTTATTTCAGTCTTTTTTATATTGTCAAGAAACTCTTTGTATATAAACATTGGTTTGAATTTCTTACTCTTTCCTTTGGGTATGTTCTTAGAGGTTGATTTTTGGGTCAAAAATATGAAGATTGACTAGGCTCTTGATATATCAAAGTGGTGAATTCCTTATTTTCCTTATTTTTATCTGTTCTAATTATTATACATGACAGTACAATGCATTTTGGATATATCATATGTCAATGGAGCATACCATCTCATTCTTCTGGTTGTACATGATGTAGAATTACAGTGGACATGTAATCATATATTCATTTTTCCTTTTTTTTTTTTTTTGCAAATATTTTTCCCTTTGGAATTTGCCTTTTGGCATCTTTTTTCCTGGAAAAATGAGAAGACAGATTATGCAGAGTGATTCCTTTTTAGGTAGATTGCAGGCCTTAGGCACTGTGGTGCAGTATTCCCACTTTGTCAGATCGGAGCACTGGTTCTGTGCTCCTGCCTCTCTGTTAACATGATTGCTTACTCCTAATCAGCTACAAGTACAACCTATGGACTTACCAAATGCACTTGTTAAGTAGGATAATGTTTTAGGGGTAAATGGTTAAAAAGTGGGGAAGGAATTCTGCATTTCTTTCATGATTTTAGGAAAGAGTTTGCATGAGGAAGGGGACATATCCAAGCAGCTATTACGTGAGACCAATTATTTCTTTTTCCTTTATGTTTTGGTCTAAACAAAACTCTCAACTTTTTTCCACTTTCATTTACCATAAGTTTCAGAAAACTGAAGTACTGAATCACTTTTTAAAAGACTAATATTGCTTTTTAAACAACATGAAACATTTGAAATCATTTGTAAAGTTTCAAGCTGTTACTTGGTGCAATTGTACTTCTAATTTTGTATGTTTCATACTGCATTATAATTCCTTGTTCCCAAAATTATCTTTCTTAATAGTCTGTTACTTTCTTGTGGGCAGGATCTGTGTCCAATCCATCTTTCCAATCCCAATTCATATAGCCTAATAAGTGTTTGATAGAAAGGTTAGTAGAGGTTAATTATGAATGGTGGATGAAAAGTCTTAAATAGAGTAGACAGTGCCAGCTTTGAAGTCAAACACTGGACTCATGTCCTGGCTTTGTCAGTTTTAATCTGAGGTTTAGTTTTCTGATCTGTAAAATGAAGATAATATTAACCCTGACCTCACAAGATTGTTGCATGATTTGGCTGTGCCAAAGCATATCATCTTGGCAGTATATGTTGGCACATAGATGCTGAATGATATCCATTTTAAAAAATAAAGTACAACCAATGTGATCCTGCAATCTGTACACGTGGAAAAATAAGATTAAGATTACGTACCCCATTTTAATCAAATGTATGATATGTCAAGATCATTGTAATGTTTTGAGCAACTAATAAAAAAATTTAAAAAAAAGAAAGAACGTAACTCATTGTGAAAAAAAAATAAAGTACAAAAGGTATAGAGAAAGCACACTGTTTCTCAAAGTGATTTCATTCCACTGCAAGGGTCATTTAATTTTTAACTTATTTTCTCTTTTGTCAGAATGGAGAAACACCATTCTTTTTGGCAGTTGAAGGAGGTCATGAAGAATGCAGCAAAGTGCTACTGGCAGCAGGAAGTGATATCAACATTCCAAATAAAGTATGTGCCTTGGGCTCCATTCACTTACACAGTGGGTGGGGGACTTAGATGGTTCTTTGGTAACTCTGGCCCCGCATTGATCACTCACTGGGTTCTTGTAGAATTAATGTTTATATTATGTTTTGTTTTGGGTAAGAATGATTTACCTCTGACATTCTCCATTCACATCTCCTCAAAAGCAATGCCATTCTTCCCATTCATCTGGGGAAGGAATAAATGAAAACTGGACAAAAGGAGCAAGTACTTGTCACATCTTAAAGACAGGCACTTTTACTCTACTTTGTTTTCTCCATAGCAACTAACACATTCCTGTTTCATACACTGTAGATGTTAAAAAAAAAAAAAAATAGAAGTTGATTGTGTGAAAACTCAAGTGATCAACTCAAGCCTGGGGCCTGAAGAAGGCTGGATGGTGCCACCTTCTAAACACAGAGTACTTTTGTATTAGTGATGCTGCAAGAGCCTTTGAAACTCTCAAGACTATTATCTTCACTTTTTAAAAGTACAGATAGCTATAATTTGAAAAACTAATGAACTGTGTTAGTCAGGTTTTTTTTTTTTCCTACTGTGACCAAAAGAACAATTTTAAAGGAGAAAAACTTTATTTTGCTCATAGTTTCAGAGGTCTCAGTCCATTGATGGATGGCTCCATTGCTCCATTGATGGATGGGTCCAAGGTGAGGCAGAACATCATGGCAGGAGAGTGTGGTGGAAGAAAGCAGCTCAGGACATGGCTACCAGGAAGCAGAGACACCACTCCCCTCACCACAGACAAAATATAAACCCCAAGGGTACACACCCAGTGACCTATTTCCTCCAGCCACACCCTACCAGCCACTCAGTTAATCCCTATTAGTAGATTAATGCACTGATCAGGTTAAGGTTCTCTTAACCCAGTCATTTCCCTCTAAACTTTGTTGCATTGTCTCACCCATGAGCTTTTGGAGGACACCTTATATCTAAACCACAACAGGAACTCAGCCAAGATCAGACAACTAGTCAATGGCAATACAAGGATTCGAACCCATTCTGACTCCAGTGCCTTCACTTTTAACCACAGCGGTGGCCTTGACCTCAGATAGTTTATTTTCTTTTTCTGTTTTTTTTTCCTAATTAGTATTAAATTATGATGAAAATAACTCATGACAAAAAACTTGGATAGAACCAAATGGTGTATGATAAAAAGTATCTTACTCCAACCTCACAGGTCAGTTTCATTCTCTGAAACTAAAATCATCACTAGTTTACTCAGTCTTCCAGGAATTTTCTATGCATTCATGTGGAAAGTGTGACTTGACTAAATAAATGCATACTCATACATACACTGATATGACATGAATGGTAGCACACCATATACTATATATACTGTTCTGTATCTTGTTTTATTTATTTATTTGCTTTTGGTACTGGGGATCGAACCCAGCAATACTCTACCACTGAGTTACATCCCCAGCCCTTTGTATATTTAATTTTGAGACAGGGTCTCGATAAATTGCTGGCTTCAAACTTGCAATCTTTCTGCTTCAGCCTTCCAGTTCACCGGGATTACAGGTATATGCCACCACGCCTGGTTGTTGTTTTTATTTTAATTGCTGATATCTTAGGATCTTTATATCAGCATAATGTGTAAACAATTTCTTTTCAAAAAGGTACAAGTTAAACACTAGAATAAGAATAAAGTCCCAAATAGGTAATGTTTTATTCCCTTATAGTCTGCTGGTAGAGTATACTTTCATACAACCCTTTTGAAAAGCATTTTGACATTTTATTTTTATTTATGTATGGGAAATTATTTTAAGGGAATAATCTATCTACATATATTAAGATAGATGATGAATTTGTTATCAGTAGCCAAAGAATTAGATACAACCTATATATGCAATGAGTGGTAGGAGAAGGCTGGAATAAAAAATTGGTATACCTTTTTTTTTTTTAACTTGTTGATAGACCTTTACTTTATTTACTTATTTATATGTGGTGCTGAGAATTGAACCCAGAGCCTCACATGTCCTAGGCAAGCACTCTACCTCTGAGCTACAACTCCAGTTATATCTATTTTTTTAAATTATGTAGCCATTAAATTATAATTATAAATACTGAAAATATATTTCATATAAAAATATATATAATAAATAAAATTAAAATAACAATATATGGTATATAATAAGTATTAATACAATAACAGTAGATTTATATTTAAATGGTTAAGGATTGTAAGAGAGAATAGAAAATGAAGATAGTAAATTGCTTTTTACTGACGTTGAAAGGTTACTGACACAATAAACAAACACAGCATCAAGAATTTCTGGAGTCATGGAATATTCAGCATGTGAAGAGCTGTGTTGTTTTTCAGTTGTTACACAATACCCCTGTCTCCTGCCCCTATCCCCAATCTGTAACCACCTGCAAGTCCCTGGGGAAGGCCTCTCTGCTTAGTAAAACTCTCTTGGGCTTGCTCCATTGTTCTGTACCTGCTCTCATATTTAATTATTTTGCTTAATTATTTTGCTCTCATAGGTATTTTGTTTTGTAATGATTTTCACATGCATGGGCAAACATTCTCCCCACTGGACTAAGACTTCATCATCTCCATTGTCCACATCCTTATAGCTGTGGCCTCGGGTGCTTAGTTAGTAGCCTCTAGGCAGATAGAAACTGTCAGAAGTCCATTCTCAGCTTTTACTAGTGCTGTGGTTTGAATATGATTTACCACCCCATCCCTCATTAGCCCCCAAGCTCATGCAGAAATTTAATTGCCAAAGTCTTGTGTTAATGGTATTAAGGTGGGTGGAAATTTAATCTAACTATAATGTTTACAGATGTGGTCTTTGGTAAGTGATAATCACTTAGCTCACTGGGGTGATGGTATTCTGGTAATGTTTGTATCCTAGTAGCTCTATAAGAAGAGAGAGAGAGACCATGTAGACTGAGATAAACACATACTCTTGCCATGATATGATGAAGCCACGACATCTAGCCTCAAAAATTTTGAGCTAAATACATCTTTTTTTCCTTATAATTTGGCTTGCCTCGAGTACTTAATTTTAGTAATGGAAAGCTGGCTAATGCAGTTTCTTCTAGAGTTTCTGCCTAAGTTCGTTAGCACATTTCCCAGGTCAGTAACCTACCACCACTACTGCCTAGATCCATTTTTGCCATCCCAGAGAAAATCCCAGGGAAACAAGCAGTGTGACGCAAAAAAGCCAGCAGCTTGTACAAATGTTATCACAGATGTGTTGGACTTGTTTTGCTTTCATTTCTGTAGGTGATTGATGTGTTTGATCTTGGAAATATTTCACTTGGTGGCTGATTTGTCTTGGTTTCCAAGAGATTGCTTTTGTGTTCTCTTGCCCTCTCCCTATCACTAAGGAGAGAGGATACATAGTGGAGTCATTTCTGAGGAGGTAATTGGAGTAAGATTATGGATTTGGTTGATAGCAGGCTTCCTCCATTTGTGCTAAATGGAGGGGTTTCCCAGGGCCTAGCTAACTGTCTGGGTGTTCACTTAGGACTTTTGTAGACCCTAAGAATGCAGATTTCTAAAGGCCCTACCCCACATCTTATCAAATATATTTAAGTGCCCCCCACATTTCACTTTAAATAATTTTTGTTTTGCTGTTAGTTATCTAAAGGGCTTTTTTATTTTTGGCTTTTACAATTACTTGGCTACAATAAGCACCCAATTTATGATCGACTCTGGTTTCTTAAAATTCTGTGTATAATTGGAAATTGAAGAAGGTGAAAAAATGTAACCTATAAAATTGTTTACAAATGCAATGAATATTTTATGAATATTACATTTAACAATCAATAAAGTATGAAGATGTTGCTTAAATATTTATTCACTTCAATTTCATGGTTTTCTTTTGGTATCTTGGAACTAATACATATAATTTTAGGTTTCACATATTCCTTTACCTCTTAAAAAATCTGTGGGTCCTACACATGTCTGTAGTGTCTCACAGGTAGCATGCTGCAGATTCCCATAGCTCCTCCGGCTGTAGGAATCTGGCTTTGAGTTCTTGAAAAGTTTGTTCCTGCTTTAGGTAGCCTTGGATCTTCCCAGTGGGGGCACTTCTGACCATTCTGATTGAAGTGTCCCCTTATCCAGGAAAGTTTTCTTGGTCACTCACTGGAAAACAGCCATCCAGTCATGTTCCCTCACTTCTCATTATAGCATTTATAACTATTATTCTTAAATAAATATCCAGAATCTATTAAATAGATTTATTCTAAATCTCCTGATTTACTGATCTTCCAGTCTACCAATCTGGACCAATTGATTGTTTACCTCCATTGGGATGATATATCATAGATCTTATCAAATTTGTTTACCAGGGCTAAGGGTGTGGCTCAGTGGTAGAGTGTTTGCCTGGCGTGTGTGAGGCATTGGGTTTGATTCTCAGCACCACATATAAATAAGTAAATAAATAAAATTAAGGTCCATTGACCAATACAAGAAAATATTTTTAAAAATTATTTTTAACCAACATATCCCTCTACTATCTAACATACTGCGTGACACATAATAGGTGCTCAATAATTTTTGTAGAATGAATAAAATGGTAGTTATGATTACTGTACACATTTCCTAGTTCATTTATCTTCCCAGGTTACTGTAGTTTGAGAGAAAGAGGTAGGATGTTGTGATAGGTATCTCCCCAGCCCCAGAGATGTCCACATAAGCCCTGGAACCTATGAATATTTAGGTTATATAGCAAAGGGGAATTCAGATGGAATTAAGGTTAAAAATCAGCAAATGTTAAAATGAGATTATTCTGAGTTATCATCTAGATGGGCCTCATGTAATGGGTCCCTTGAAGTAGGAGTGGGAGGCAGGTGAGGAGGTCAGGATGATGAGTGTGAGGAGAGCTCAGCTAACCACTGCTGGCTTTGAAGATGGAAAAAAGGGTGTGTGAGCCAAGGAATGTAGGAGGCTTCTAAAAACTGGATGAGGCAAGGAAACTGATTCTCACTCCAGAAAGGAACACAGTCTTCAATAAAACACCTTTTTTTTTTTGACCCCAGTGAAATCCATTTCAGACTTTTTGACTTCCAGAATTATAATACATTCCTATTAAGCCACTAAGTTTGTGGCAGTTTGTTATAGCAGCAGAGAAAACAAATGTAGGTGGTTATGCCATTTTTATAGATGAAGATGGAGGAGCCCATACTTGATAAGCCACTTCATTCTGGGTCACATAAGAATTAGCATCCTCCCAAGCTAGGATTCTGTTAGTCAGAGATATACATATCATTCCTGTTAACATCTGTTCCAGTTGCCTATTGCTTCATAGCAAAACAACTCAAAGCCCAGTGGCTTGAAACATTAGTGTGTATTATATTCCATAGCTTTGTGGTGTTAACCCAAATGGCATAGGAGAAAGATTCTCTAAAGAAGAAGTTTATATGGGATAGCAGAGCATTGCAATGGGATGATGTGTGCCATAGAAGTAAATTATGTGCTTTTTCAAAGAGATTAAGGCCAGGGGAAATTTTTAAAGGCAAAATGAGAAGGATTACATAAAATATTTTGAAACAATAATCTTTGGCTACTCGAATTAATAACAAGGTGGCTGCTGTCTAAGATTAAATAGACAGTTGTTGGGCAAATGTCCTTGTGGAAATATTTTTGTGTGTGTGTGTGTGTGGGGGGGAGTGGATTGCAGTGGCCTTAATTCAAGGTTGTGGTTCTGGCAGTTGATGCCCGTTCTATTGGGAGCTCGCCATGGGCTCGTGACCTGAGCACCAACATATGGAACCTCAGTGTGCCTGAGCCTTCTTACATCACCATAGCATCTGGACTAAGAGGAATTATCGCAAGAGGCAGAGAGCAGAAGCTGCCAGCCTGATTAGGGGTCATTCCATCACTTCTACCATACTCTGTTGGCCAAAGCAGTTATAGAGTCTACTCAGATTCAAGAGAGTGAAGAAGCAAACCCTCCCTCCTGAGGGAGAATGGCAAAGTCACATTGCAACAGAGCATGTGGGACGGGATACCAATGCAGCCATTTAGGGAAAGCAGTTTTATAGAGTACCCTTTTTTTAAAAAAATATATTTTTTAGTTATAGGTGGACACAACATCTTTATTTTATTTTTATGTGGTGCTGAGGATGAAACCCAGTGCCTCACTCACACCAGGTGAGTGCTCTACCTCTGAGCCATAACCCCCGCCCTAGAGTACCCTTTTATGGAGCACCTGAAAATACTTTGTGGCAGTCTTATGGTTGATCAGTCAACAACTAATTGCATTATTGCAAGGTGCCATGCTGGGCAAGTTGGAAGTTCAAGGATTACCAAGAGCAGGCTGTGCCCTGGAACAGGGTGCCATCTAGCTTGGGTGCTAAGTGCAGATAGTGAGCTTAGGGAAGCCTCAGGAGGCAGCTGGAAGCAGAGTAGAAAAAAGGTGCTAAAGGAGACAGGTAAAAGGACAGAGAGGCAGTCCTTCCCAAGGGTGGAAATCATACTAAACTGTGAAGCTGTACCTGGCAAAGAGGAGATCTGGTAGTCAACAGAGACAGGGAGGGAGGAAATCATTTTAACGTTTTATTTTTTAGTTACCATTGGACACAGTACCTTTATTTTTTTTTTTTTATTTATAATTATATGTTGCTGAGGATCAAACCCAGGGCCTCACACATGCTAGGCGAGTGCTCTACCCCTGAGCCACAACTTCAACCCCCACTGAAGCCTTCTGGAGACTAATAACCAAGTTACCTATTTCACTCAAGGAAGGCATTTGCTGGGCAGTGTAGAGAGTCGACCTGGTTCTAATTCACTTCCTACTTCTCCAAGCAGGGATTTAACTCTTATTTACCTGCAGCAAATTTGTCTTAACTTTAGCACTCAGGGTGCTATAATAAAATACCATCAAACTGGGTGGCTTTAACAACAAACAGGGCTATTTCTCATAGCCCTGCAGGCCGGAAGTCTGTTAGGGAGCTAGTTGGGTGAAGTTCTAGTGAGTGTGCTCTTCTTAGTTTATGGACAGCTGTTTGTTGTGCCCTCACATAACAGAAAGAGGACTAGAAAGTGCTCTGGTTGTATTTTTTTTTTTTTTTAAATAGGGGCATGAATCCCATTCACCAGGGCTCAATTCTTATGACCTTATCACCTTCCAAAGGCCCAACTTCCAAAAGATGTGTGGCAATTGGGATTAGGGTTTCACCATATGTATTTTGAGGGGATACTTGTAGTCCATTGCACAAATGTTCCTGAACTCTGACAGCTTAATGGGAGACACTTTGAGGTAACAGTCTCTGCCCACCCTCCCAAATAATTGGTAACACATTGGATTTCCTTTTCAAAATAGTTGTATTTTGTCATTATACTAATTATTCATCGTATGATGAACACTGCATAGCATGTTGGGTTTTGATGGGGGATCCTCCCTGCTCTCTCGACCTCTCTCTTGCAGCTCAATGTCAGTGTTTTGCAGACTGCAACCCGGAATGGCCACACATCCCTTGTCAACTTTCTTCTCAGTGAGAACATCGATCTGCACCAGAGGATGGAAGTGAGTCTATTCTAGTTTACACAGGTTTTGGTCCTGGCGCCCCAGGCTGGCGGCCAGGGAGATGTCCTTCACAGATAGATGTGTGGGATGAGATGTTTCACAAGGGAGGGATTCTTTCTGGGAAGCCTGACTGACTGTTTTTGGAGGCTAAGTCTTAATCTTGAGAAATACAATCTCAGGGATGAATTTTAGAAAGTCACTGAAGTTCCAGAGCAAAATGAAATCTTTGTGTTTTAAATATTTATATTCGCTGCAATAAAACTTTCTCGTGCGTCTAGAGATGCCGTGACTCTTGTTGGAATCTCATCAGTCTGGGAAATGAAGCTGCTGTAAACATGAAGAAGAGTGATAATTTTTCCATCTTGCTGAGTGATCTTGTTTTTCTTGTGAAAGACAATCCTTTATAATGATTTAGGTTTTCTGAAGTTTGAATTGGCTTTGGTAGAATTAACAAAGGCCCTCTGTGCTGGAATTGGACAGGAAGCTTTCCTTTATTTTTCACTGTATTCTTGTTTCTCTTGTGAGAATATTATTTCCTCCGATCTTGCTGAGACATTATTATTTACTGCATTAACTTGAGAGTAAGGGATGTGATTTAAACCCTGTCTGATGGTTTTTGGAGCATGGAGTTAGGGAAATTGGCTCTGAACTAACTGGTTTCAGGCCAAGGATGCTTCCTGTTTCTCAGGAGGAGCTGGGCGCCACAAGGCGGGTGGCCCTGGCAAGAAGGATGCTGCCTGCTTCTTTGAGGTGAAGGATGCTTTCTCTGTGTTCATGCTTAGAGCTTCAAGGGAGGAAGTATTCCTGAACAAAGGAGGCCTATGCAGCCTCACCCTCAGATGGCACCCACAAGCTTTCCTCAGTGCCATCTTCTCCTTTTTCCCCCTCAGCCAGCCTCTGATCTGCTCAGGCAGCAGCCCTACCTGCCCCTCCTTTCCTCTCCTCTTCCTCTGTGTGCTGGTGAAACTTGCCAACTCACTCCATCTCTCTTCCATCTGTTTTCCCCTGTCTCCTGAGAAGGAGTCTGCTGCATATGGAAGTCAGGAAGGTCTTGGTTCAATTCTGGTCTCTCCCACTTTCTTGCTCTATGGCCTTGCCAAAGTTACTGATCCTCTCCGTGTCTAATGTATAAAGTGGAGAATATAAAATCGAGTGCTAGAATTGCCGTGAATGACATGGTTTCTGAAAAGCTGTCAGTTAACCTACTGTTTAAGACAGTTTCCCTAGTGCTGGGGGGAAGTGTGTAGTAAGTACATTGTGAGAATGTGTTGAATGTGCCCAACTGATGCTTATCGTTATCACCTGTTACACTTGACCGACGTTGCACTCTTCTGTCCTAATAGCTGGCTCTCGCATGCATCTGTGTCCCCTCTCTCCACTCACTCTGCTCCTGTCTCTCCTACCATGCCCCTACCCCTGCACACAGTCTCCTTGGATCTTCTGCCCAAGCTCTCTTGCACCTGCACCCCTCCCTCCCTCATGACCCTCACCGGATGCTCCTTCCCCACCCCTCTCCTGCCCTAATTGTTTTTGCCCCCCCTCTCCACTTCATCGACTTTCCCCTACCTCTTACTCCCTTCCAGCTTCCTTGTCTCCTCCCTTAGTCATGTTTTCTCTTGTGCCTCTGCAGCCTGTGCAGCTGGGTAGGTGAGGCAGCAGGGAAGCTTGGAGGCAAAGTGTGTGATGGTGATGGGGCTGTTTCTGTAGTCTGAAGGGTAGTAAGAAGCCAGGGTAGAGATGGGTGAGAGGGGTCATAAGCTCAGAAGATAGACAGTTTAGCCACAAAGGAGACAAACAGGGAGAAGGCTTCAAAAGGTTTGATGAATACATTGTGGCTGGACTCTGTGGAGGCAGGAAGGCTGAACCTGAGAACCTAGTGCATGAGTAAGTGGAGATACCGGTTCTGCAAGACATTCAAGGGATTGAGGGCTTTAGATCATATCAGTTCAGGAAATGCTGAATGTGTATACATTTCCCCTTCTGTGTCTGTTTCTATTGTCTTTTGGCTCTTTGAAGGCTCTGAGAAGTCCTGCAGTTCAACCTGTTTAGTACTTCCTTATTCATATTTGAGGTCAGCTGTTGGTTCTTCAGGAAAGCATTTTCTGTCCTCCTGAAAGGTCAACCCTTCCCCAACCACCAAGCATACCTTCACAGCACTTTTGACCTTTCCTTCCAAACACTTATCACAATTTAATTACATATTTGTGTGACTTTCTAAAAAAAAAAAAAAAGAAAAAAAAAAGAAAAGCAAAAAGAACATTTGTTTGCCCCAGTAAATTAGAAGATTTCTGAGAATGGGCTCTGGTCACTACTAAATCCCTGGCATTCTGAAAAGAGACTGGCCCATAGTAAGTGCTCAGTATATAGTTCCAGAACAGTGGATGGGGAGAGCTGATTGCTGGTGAGCTGGCTTGCTTCACACACAGCCCTCAGAATGATAATATTTGCAGAACTCTTAACTATGTGCTCACCACTGGGTTGAGCAATTTTGGTACTCAGAGAAGATCAGGAAATGTCTGCTGAAATGAGTTGCTTTGTGATTTGAATGTTGAAACCAGAATCTTTTGAATTTGAAAATTTTTCTTATTTCTGCAGCCTAAGGAGTCCCCTCTTCATTTAGCAGTTATCAACAACCATGTCACAGTGGTAAACAGCTTATTAAGTGCACAGCATGATATTGACATCTTAAATCAGGTAAGCCAAGCAAATCAGAATCCAAAGAGTTTATTTTCTTATGTTTCAACACAGTTGTGCATTTATGGGGTGTTCTGATGGAGTTCAAGTTGCCTTAAAGGTTCCTGGGAGAAGCATGTGCGTCTTTTTTTATCCTTTTTTCTTCTGTAACTTCCATTACACCCTCATACTTTCTCTTTCAAAAGATGTAACTGGGGTTTAGCCAGTCCATGATCAGATTGTTCACATTGAACAGCTGTAGCACTTGTAGCACTTGTGATAAACAGTAGCTCAGAGGTAAATTGCCAGAGGCCCTTTAAATCAAAAGCCACTCCTGCTGTGTGAAATGTGTGAAATGTTGTCCTTGGCCAAGAGCCCTTCCCCACAAGAAGGAAGCTTTGTTTCTACATTAGAGACAATAAATGTATCTTGCTTTGCCCAAAGGCAAAAAAGACCTCTTGGAATACACTGATGACCAGGAATTCAATCAAAGGGAGCAGAATCAAATGCCTCATAAAAGCTATCAATCTGTCACTGGTTGAAAATGAGAGTTTTAGGTAGAACAACAGAGCCAAGCGGAGCTGTCTGGCCAGGCTGCTCTCTGGGGCTGAGCTGCCATCTTCCAGTGGATGTCGGGAGAAGGAAACCCCAGCTATGCCCTGCAAGTTAGGGCATAGGGCATTTATTTATATGCAGTGGGCATGTTTGTTCTAACGCACCATGGGGTGCCCATTTCCTCCTATGCAAAACCAGAGCATGACTCAGGTCTCTGCGGTCTTCTCCACCTCCAACCTCTGAGTTAATTTTTGCTGTGAGCTAAAGGAAGACATATCTCCATTTCTGTCTCTTTCCTCCTCCAGGAACTCTTCCTTCGTTTTTATGTCTTTCACGATCACAAAAGATCGAGTGAAGGGAAAACCCTCTTGTTATTAAATATATTTACTTATTGGATTATGTTAATACCATGAATCTTTTCTAATGGGTAAAAATGTTTGTTAAATACCCAAAACCTATGTTCATGTGTGATCTGTTTCCAAGAACTGGCAGGATGCAGTCTAGGGAAGGAGCATTTATAGAACTAGATTTGATCACTTCAATCTTTTTATTAGACCAGAAAAAATACACATGTGAAATCAGAAAATTTGTACACAACACACACACACACACACACACACACACACACCAGGGATTGAACCTGGGATACTTAACCATTGAAACACATCACCAACCCTTTTCTTTATTTCTTTTTAAAAAATTTTGGGACAGCATCTTGCTAAGTTGATTAGAACCTTGCTAAGTTGCTGAGGCTGTCTTTGAACTCGCAATCCTCCTGCCTCAGCCTCCCAAGCAGCTGAGACTATAGGCATGTGTCACCACCCACAGTAGAAAATTCATGTTTTACATATAAAATATTTATACAAAATAACATAAATATAGTAAAAAGGTGAATGTATTTGTGTCTCCACCAAAGAAAGATAACTCTTGTTAATGTTTTGGTGCATTTAGTGTCTTCTAGACTTTAATAGCTTTAATATCCAAATGCAATTTTATTGGTATCTGATGTATTATGCTTTATCTCTGTTCCATTTTGGTATGTACCTTTGGAAGGTTTGTGAAAAGGGTGGAGTCTTCAATGATGGAGCTCCAGTGGAGCACACTGCCATCTACAGGTGGACCTTTAATAAATGCTTTTTCATAATCAAGTCAACACCTCAAGCGAGTTGGCCTTGTGTTCTGGTAGAAAGAAAGTACTGGGCTTCTTGCTGTTGCCCAGCTGTGTGACCCAGGAGAAGTTGCTTCCCCTCTGTTTAAGGGGTTGGGTTCGATAATATCCAAGTTCCTTTCTGTCCTAGTATTTGAAAAATGTCTTCACATCAGCATTACTTTTGGTGAAAGGTTAAGATGAGTGGTTTTCTTATGAGAGCACACGTTTCTTTTGAAACACCCTCATAGGAAAATGATTACCCACAAAAGAAATAAGTCTTTCACTCCTTTCACATTATTATGTGTAAAATTTAGAGAACAAAGAAAAGCATCAAGAAGGCAATGACAATAACCTCTAATCCCTTCATCTAGCCATTATCATTGTTATATTTCCCTGTCTTTTTTTGTATGTATTTTAAATTAAACTCAGCTAGGTATAGTGCTGTTGTCTCCTAAGATTCTTAACACTGCATCATAAATATTTTCTACTTGTAAAAATAATCTTTTATTTATTTACTTATATGATTATTTATTGATTACAGTGCTGGGGATTGAACCCAGGGCCTCCCATGCTAGGCAAGTGTTCTACCACTGAGCTACAGCCCCAACCCTATAAAAATAATGTTTGAGTTTTTATTGTGGTAAAATACAAATAGAAGTTACTGGTTTTTGAGCTTACCATCCTGTGATGTTAATTGCATTCACATTGTTTTGCAACCATTACCACCATCCACCTCCAGAACTGTTTTCATTTCCTCAGACTGAGACTCCACACCCACTAAAGAATAACTCGTTATTTCCTTCTACCCCAACTCCTAGTGACCACTGTTTGTTTAACTTTCTGTCTGTGAAATTTGACTACTCCAGGTAACTCATTGAAATCTCTGTCTCTCAGTCTCTGTCTCTGTTTTTCTCTCTCTATGGCTTGAGATGGGATCTCATTATGTTGCCCAGACTGGTGACAAATTCCTGTGCTCAAGTGATCCTCCTGCCTCAGCCTCCTGAGTAGCTGGGACACAGATGTGCACCACTGTACCAGGTTCTGAAATAACCTTTTAATGGTTGTCTACTATTCCAATATATAGATGTAGTATAATTTGTCTAATGGCTCCTTGTTAAATGTATAACTTCCTCTCATTTTTTTTTACTATAAAAATAATACTGCAGCTGGGCATGGTGGCCTGTAATCCCAGTGGCTCAGGAGGCTGAGGAAGGAGTATCTTGAATTCAAAGATGTCCTCAGCAACTTAGCAAGGCCCCTAGGCAACTCAGCAAGATCCATCTCTAAATTAAAATATATAAAGTGTTGGGGATGTTGCTGAGTGGTTAAGCACCCCTGGGTTCAATCCCTGATACTACTACTACTACTACTACTACTACTACTACTACTAATAATAATAATAATAATAATAATTTTAAAATATAACAATACCGCAGTGATTGTCCCCATTAAAAAACACATGGTTGTATCCATTTTGCCTCAAGCCTATACAGCACACCCATACATTCCCTTTGTCTTTGTACTATGCACGTCTTTACCCCTCTTTAATGTTCTTCTGTTACTTCTTTATGATCTCTCATGTCAGAGACAGCAAACCCCTCTGCATGTAGCAGCTGATCTTGGAAATGTGGAACTGGTGGAAACCCTGCTGAAGGCTGGCTGTGACTTAAAGGTTGTTGATAAGGTAAATGCACCAACTTGACTCAGGTCAGGGAGATGTTAATGGAGGTCTCCTTGTCAGCTGCCAGTAGGGGAAGCATCGGTATTCCCTTTGGTAAATGGGCACAAACTGGAGAAACCTTGCATTTTCATAGTCATGAAAACATCCCAACTTTTATTGAGATATGTCAGTAAAAATTTTTACTCTAAATAATGAAATATGTGCTTTTAAGATTAAAATTATTCATTGAATTTTTAAAAAGATCATAGATTCACATGGCCCCAAAATTTTGTGTATTATATTACATATAATATTTTCATATTATATTTATATGTTATGTAATGGTATGCTTATATATTTAACACATTATGTATAAATATTATATTATACATATTTTAAATATCTTTAGTATATATTTATTTTATATTTATATTATATATTATTTTATAATATAAAAATACTGTACACATTTTTTTTAAAGAGAAAGAGAGAGAATATTTTTTAATATTTATTTTTCAGTTTTCGGTGGACACAACATCTTTATTTTATTTTATGTGGTGCTGAGGATCGAACCCAGCGCCCCGCGCATGCCAGGCGAGCGTGCTACTGCTTGAGCCACATCCCCAGCCCCTATACATAATATTTTAAACATATATTATGATATATAATATGATATATAATATATTATAATAATATATAATTATATGACATAATCATATTTATACATATATATTGTTATATACAATATTTATAAGATTATATATAATTTTTACTGTAAGCCCTTACCATATATATATTTTTTCTAAATATAGTATATTTTCTCTCTCTATGTAAGCATATATGTACAAAAGGTTTGCAGTAAAAATTTCACACACATCCTTGTTCTTACTTGTCTGGTTCCTGTACTACCATGGCCATATGCAGCCATTTCAATAAATTTCTTCTGTTCCTTCCAGAGTTCTTTTTGAATATGTAAACAAGCATAAGTGTATTGTACCTTTATTTTATTCTTCCATCTTTTAAAGACAGTGGTAACATAGCTATATGTTCTAGTGTTAAGAATTTTAAAGTGTAGGACTTTACATATTAATTATGAAGAGTTTCTTCATTTTTTCTTTTGCAGCTGCATGGGTTCTTAAGTTGTTCCTCAGATTTTGATAAAGCTGCAATGAACAAACACACTTATATGTATCTAAACTTGTTTTTTTTCTAAATTTAATAAAATTTTAATTGTGGTAAGTACACATAGCATAAAGTTTACCTTCTTAATTTTTTTTTTTTTTTTTTTTTTGGTGCTGGGGTTTAAACCCAGGACATCATGCATGTACTCTACCCTCCCTGTTCAAAACTTAATTTTTCCTTCCTTGTTTTCACCCATGCAGTGCATTAGCTTAGCACCTCCCTAATTCATGCTATCTACCTCAAAATCACATGCTATGTTTATACAATCTGAAGTAGTTATGTTATTTTGCTTTTCTCTGATTCTGTTTTTTTTTTTTAAGATTTTTAAAAACTGATGCATTCTAACTGTGCAATATAGTGGGCTTCATTGCTATGTATTCACACATGTACATAATTTGGTCAACTGTTTTTTTTTTTTTTTTCAAATTATAAAAGTAACAAGCCCTCAATTTGGAAAATAGATAAAGTATACGGAAAGGAAAACACAACCACCCATAATTCCATCTCTTGGGTGGAATTCCACCACTTTCCCCTATTGTGGCTAGTTAACTTTGTTAACATTTACCATTAGTGTTTACCCACATATTCTTTTCTAATTTATTCAACTTTTTCATTCATACCTCACAAGCTCAGAGCAATTTTGTGAATAGAGAATCCATTGCATTTGGTAGAAATTCATGTTAGGGTTTCTGGTGCTATTGACTGGATATCCAAGTAATCATGGTCGATGCTACTGCTTGACTTTGTTCTCAAAACAAAAGCCCAGTGTTACTAGGCCTTGCAATTCGATTTTCCCAGACATCCCTTCCGTCCACCTTTTTCTTTTCTGGGTCTGGCCCATAGTTGGCACCCAATACATATTTAGTTGGTAAATAAAAACAATGTTTTCTACCTGTTCCCATGATTTTTACCAAAGATGAGTGTTTCTAAAGCTGCATTAAAGTCTGGATGGGACAAAGGGAGTAAAAGTTGGGTTGGATTTGATTTTCCCAGAAGCTTGTCTTGGGGCCTGAGATGTCACAAAGCTCCCAAAGGGCCTTACAGCCACCTACTCCTTTACCTGCAAGGGCAGATGTGCTGGGACTTTCATTCCAGCATCTACTCTATAGGAAGATTTTTCTCATGAGTCTGAAAACTCTGGCTTTCAGATGCTGCCTTCCCAAAATAGGCTAATTATGGTGATTCAAATGGCTTTATAAGCCAGAATTTAGGCAGCATGCAATTAGAGGCTTGCTAAATGCCTGCAAAATGTAGTTCTTCCTAATTTCATTACTGTCTCTTTTGATTAGAGGCTGATTACATTCATCCCCAATTTTCCAGCTCACCTGGATTTTTGTGCCTGGACTAATAGCCCAGGCATTTGTGTGGGTGGGAATTGTACTTGCTGCCAATATCCAGCCATGTCCGAGAATTATTGGGATAGATTAGATCTGTAAGGTTAGAACCATAGTTTCCTAAGAGCAGAACTTCTGGAGTTACCACTGACCATTAATTCTGATTATTTTCAGGATTCCTAAGTGAATTCCTCATGGGTCATTTGAAAAACAAATAAGAACTACCATCTTTTGTCAGGGAAAAATGTATAGCTGTAGAAGTTGTGCACTGAATAAAATCTAAGAGATGTTGTTTGCAAAGCTGTGTACCCTGGCTTTGAGCTATATTCATCCTGAGAAAGGAGCACCTTTTTGTAATTTGTATATGATACCATATGGGCTCCAAGAAGAACACGCTCCACACGATGTCCAGGACAGTTTCTTTTGCTCATTCTATTTTGTTAGAGTGGTGGTGATACCTCACCCTTTTTGTTAGAGGCAGTGTGCTATGATAGAAAAAAAAATTTCTAGCCATGAGTCCAGTGAACTGAATTTTATACATGAATTAGTTGTGTTATTGATAATTAATAAGATCCAGCTCTTTTCTGTCTTATTACTCTGCCCTCCTCAAAACATGGCTTCCACTTCAGAAAAGGAAGTGGAAGTCATATTTTGAGACTTCCACTTCAAACTTCTGCCATCCTATCAGCTTTCCATTCAGGAAGAGATGGAATGGAAGGACAATGACATCTCTCCTGTCTTTAAAAATACTTCCCATAGCCAGTCATGGTGGTGTATGCCTATAATCCCAGTGATTCAGGAGGCTGGGGGATCAAAATTTCAAATCCAGCCTTAGAAATTTAGTAGGTCCAGTATCAAAAATAAGAAAGGATGGGGATGTGGCTCAGTGGTAGAGTACTCCTGGGTTCAATTCCTGGTACAAAACAAAACAAAAAAAGATGTTTCCCATGTTTGCCTATGCCCTTCCATTTACATACCATTGGCCAGAATGTGAGTCACTTACCTAACTGCAAGGGAGGTTAATGGTGGCACATGCTCTAAGTACTTTGTATGCATTATCACTATGCATTATCCTCACCACTACACCTTGGTGTAATTTTGGAGCCCCAGAGAAGCCAAGGACTGGCTAAAATTCACCCAACAAGGAAGTGGTAGGATCAGATCTGAACCCAGATCCCTTGTTCCAAAGCTACAGCTCCTAACTACCAGGTGATAGCACCTGACACTTACTTTTCTCTTTTAACTTTTAGCAAGGAAAGACTGCGTTGGCTGTGGCATCTAGGAGCAACCACAGCCTTGTTGTGGACATGCTTATTAAAGCAGAGAGATACTATGCCTGGAGAGAGGTAAGGCAATGTCAGCAGAGCAGGAGGCTCTTCTAGCAACCCCTGTCTTCTTATTGGGCAGTGTTTCTGCTCTCATAGGCAGAAGCCCTTGCCACTATAATTATAATTGTCCTTTCTGTCCTGTGCTGCCCTCATTCACAGAACGAACAGCTGCCTGCTCCCTCTTCTTTTCCTTTGCCAGCATCAGCAGTAGAGGGAGTTCGTGAGCTGGGCTCACTATTGAGCTGGGCTCATTATTGCTGGCTCTAATGGGTACAGTGGACAAGTCCCTAATGGGTGACTCCCTGGCTGTGCCTCTGTCCTCTGGTCTCTGGCCATATTCTGTTACAGGACACTCTAATGGCTGGTTAAAAGGTTCCTATTTATGGCTCTGTAATTTTCAATGCACCCTCTACTGGCTCTTCACCACTCAAGTATTCTGTGACAGTCACAGAACCTTATTCATCTGAGAACATAAAAAAAACTTGTCTCTAACTCACCTTTTCCTTTCTTTCATTTTTATTTGCTTTGATGTCTGTCACTTGTGCAGCTTCTCCATAGACTGTCCTCTCCTCCAAGATTCAAGTCTATACCTTCAGGCAGGATTTCATTATCAGATACCAGCCTCAGTTTCTAGCGATGCATCATTTCCAGCTGAGGCTGCATGGCTACCACACCTCCAATGTTAGCAGCAGAATTCGGGTTCTCATCATGTAGGTGTCTCTCCTGGAGGAGCCACACACCTAGATTGCTGTCCATTCGGCCCATCCTGGGAAATATGCCTTAAATCCTTAAAGGGAAAAATATTTATTGTCTATTCTCTCACAGTCCTGTTTAATCAGCTCAGTAGTTGGGATATGCAGTTATGTGTTGCAAGGATTAGGACACTTCCTGAGAAGTGTGTCATTAGCAATTTGATCATTGTGTGAACCTCTTAGAGTGTACTTACACAAACCTAGATGGTTTGCCCCACCACACCTGTATGCTATGATGTAGCTATTGTCAGTGTATATGTCATTGTATATATCATGCAGTACTTGACTGTGTCTGGATCCCTTTAAAGGCCACACCATGGTCCTTGCAACTTTTCTTGCCTATGTTTTGCCTGTTGTGTTAGTCAGCTTTTTGTTGCTGCAACCAGAATGCCTGACAAGAACAACTTAAAGGAGGAAAGGTTTATTTTGGCTCATGGTTTCAAAGGATTTAGTCCATGGTCAGCTATTCCAAGGTAGAAACATGGTGGAAAGACATGGCAGAGGAAAAGTGCTCAGTTCATGGAGTTGATAAGCTGAGAGGTGGGGGTGGGGAGGGGGAGAAAGAGAGAAAGACAGGGGCAAAGGAGAGAGTTGAGGATAAATAAACCTAGGGCATGCCCCCAGTGACCTGATTTCTCCAACTAGGTCCTACCTCCCAGTAGTCCATCAAATGGATTATTCCACTGATTAGGTCAAAGCCCTCATGATCCAATCATTGCCTGAAAGCCTCACCTCTGAACTTTGGTGTATTGGGGACCATGTTTTCAACACACTAGCTTTTAGGGGACTTTACAAATCCAAACCGTAATATCTGTAAAGTGACTAAAAAAATTTTTTTTTTAACAAATAGAACTCCCTGGTGGGCTGGGGATGTGGCTCAAGTGGTAACACACTTGCTTGGCATGCACGGGGCACTGGGTTCGATCCTCAGCACCACATAAAAACAACATAAAGATGTTGTGTCTACCGAAAACTGAAAAATAAATATTAAAAAATTTTTCTCTCTCTCCTCTCTCTCTCTTTCTCTTTTCTTTAAAAAAGAAAATACATTAGTGTTAAAAAAAAAAAACAAATAGAACTCCCTGTTTAATATTCTATTTCTATTATTGTTCTCCTTCCTCTTCTATTTCTATTGTTCCTCCTCCTCCTCCTCTTTGCCCTTTTTCCTTTTAAGCTCATTTTCTCAAATTGCCTATTTTATTGAGGACAACTTTTCAAATTTACACCTTTCATCTTGCTCTTTAAATCATTGTTTCCAGGGACTAGGGTTGTGGCTCAGTGGCAGAGCACCTGCCTTATGTGGGCGAGGCACTGGATTTCATCCTCAGCATCACATAAAAATAAATAAATAAGTAAAATAAAGGTATTGTGTCATCTATAACTAAAAATAAAAAAATTAAAGTATTATAAATCATTGCTTCCAGGGCCAGGGATATAGCTCAGTCATAGACTGCTTGCCTAGCATGTACAAGGGATTAGGTTGGATACCCAGAACTGGCAGGGCAGGGGAAAAGAAATTGTTGCTTCCACATTTTCTTTGAAAATAGATATAGTCATTTGTTCTATTTTTTAATGCCTGATAATGTCTTTAGATTCTTGGTGGCTAGATGAGTATAAATGATTTTTCCACCAAATGAATAAGCTCTTTTTCCCAACAAATCTTTAAGATACAAGAGAGAAACTTTGAAAACCATATGTAATTTATAAATATAGCTGAAGGAGGGTCCCAGAAATGGTAAGTTATTAATCTTTTTTTTTTCTTGGTACTGGGATTGAACCAAGAGGCACTTTATCACTGAGCCAAATCCCCAACCCCCACCCTAGCTTTTGTTTAGTTGTTAATGGACCTTTAATTAATTAATTAATCTATTTATTTATTTATAGGTGGTGCTGAGAATCAAACCCAGTGCCTCACACATGCTAGGCAAGTGCTCTACCACTGAGCCACAACCCCAGCACCCCCATCCCTTTTTATTTTGAGACAGGGTCTCACTAAGTTGCTGAGGTTGGCCTTAGACTTGCAATCCTCTTGCTTCAGGGTCCTGATTTCCTGGGATTATAGGCATGCATCACTGCCCCAGCAAGAGTTATCAATCTTGATGACAGGTCTAGGGTGGGAGGAAGACCTGAGACTTGTTTTTTAATATATAGCCTTAATTTTTTTAAACCAAATGAATTTATTATTTTTAAATCTTTGTTCATCAAATTTGTATTCTGGACTCATATGAAATGTTTTCTAATAAAAGGATTAAAGATGTGATTTAAATTTCCTCTCACATTCATTATCTATTTATATAGCAATTTAACCATCATTAAATCATCCATCATTTTTTTGGGGGGGGTGGTACCAGGGATTGAACTCAGAGGCACTCAACCACTGAGCCCCATCCCCAGCCCTGTTTTGTATTTTATTTAGAGACAGGGTCTCACTGACTTGCTTAGTGTCTCCCTGGCTTTGAACTCTGGATCTTCCTGCCTCAGCCTCCTGAGCTGCTGGAATTACAGGTGTGCGCCACTGTGCCCAGCTTAAATCATCTATCATTAAATTCAATGATTCAGAGGCAAAAGGGAGCCTCCTAAAATGTGGCTAGTGTTAATCTCTACTGATTTGGCTTGTGTTACTAATGCAAATAGTTTAGTGCTTTGGCAGATACTTTGTCTATTTAATGCTTTTACTAAATGTTGGAAATGACTGGGGCTTTCCAAATCCTGAGCCCTTTCTTATGGAGGTTTGAAGTTCCAATCAGCCTGATCCTGGTATGCATGAAACATGCAAGTTTCTCTAAATTTTCATAAAATACAGGACTGGTGATGCAGCTCAGTGGTAGCATGCTTGCTTAGCATGCGTAAGGCCACAGGTTTGATCCCTAGTATCCACCCTGCTCCTATGAATGCTGTAATGCAAAGGTAAATACAAAATCATTCTACCCTCTTCTTTTCACCTTGGTTGTTTGGAGTTGTGATGTTGATAGGCTCATCATTGTTTCAGTACATGGAATGAAGTGAAGTACCTACAGTTCCCAAGTTTATTGGATTTTTCACCCTCAGCCTTATCTCTTAGGATTCCTGAAAGCGAGGCACTGTGAAAATAAAGCTCAGGTGAGGCTAGAGAAGATCTTGCATTCTTAGCCTCTTAAACAATAGTTGGGTAATTCATATCTCCATTCCTATTCCAACTTCTGTATACAAAGTATAGACCCCAAGTCCAGCCGATCTGCGTGGAGCCCAGGCAGGCCCAGGTCAGCCCCCACCTCCACCCCTTCCCTGTCCCAGCCCAGGTCCAGGCCTAGGCCCAGGACAGCCCTGCTGATCCCAGTGGAGCCCAGGCAGGCCCAGGATAGGACCACCCACTGGCAAGGAGCCCAGGCAGGCCCAGGTCAGGTCTGCGGACCCCTGTGGAGCCCAGACAGGCCCAGGATAGCCCCACAGAACTGTGGTGGAGCCCTCACTGAGGTTCCCAGTTTACCAAGGCTGTTGTCCACCCCGCCTGCTCACCTCCATCTTGGAACACTGCAGCCATCACCATAGCCCTGCCCACCTTCTAACAGCTGACAGGGCCTAGAGGCAGCTGCCTGCTGCATCATCAGGTCGTCCAACGCCATCTGATAGCCCTCCCTTTCAGCCCCAACTCTGAAAGTGGTTGCCTCCATCTCGGGACACCTCTACCAGTATCTCAGGTTACCTCTGCTGCTGATGTCACTATTCAGTTGCAGCAGCTTCGATCATGGGACACGGGTCGGGAACTGGAAGCCCAACATGAAGACGGAGACATCAGTAACCTGAAGGGACACTACAAGATTATAGGGTAGAAATTGTAACATCCTGGATCCATACTGCTAAAGGGGAAGACACCCAGGAAGCACGAAAAGACAAGGGAAGAAAGTTCCCCAAACAAACCAAGATGATTCAACAATAGAATCCACAGCACAGTAGAAGAAATGTACGTAATTAAAATGATCTGTGAATTAAAGAATGACATAAGAGAACAAATAAAGGCAACAATTGATCAGTCCAATAAAGAGATAAGAGAACAAATACAGGCAACAAAAGATCACTTCAAAAAAGAGAGATTCTAAAAAAAACAAATAAACAGAAATTCTTGAAATGAAGAAAACAGTAAACCAAATTAAAAATTCAATAGAAAGCATTACCCACAGACTAGATCACATGGAAGACAGAACCTCAGACAGTGAAGACAAAAATTCATAATCTTGAAAATAAAGTTGACCCCACAGTGACGATAGTAAGAAACCACGAACAGAACCTCCAAGAATTTTGGGATAGCACAAAAAGACCAAATTTAAGATTTATTAGGATAGAGGAAGCTGCAGAGATTCAAACCAAAGAATAGACCCTAAGAAAGGTCTTGCCCTTCTCCTTAGCTACATTTTGCAGGAGTTGGTAGAATTTCCTGGAGGAAGTTGTTGATGCCCTGAAGGGTGCAGGCTGATCCCATGACAAGAGCTAATAAGCAAGCCCCACCAATTTTTTTTTTTTTCTCGTAGGTGTTGAAAATTCAGGTCCCATTTTTTTGGTACATTTTCTGCTCCAGCATTAACTTCCATCTTGTTCTTCAGATATCTTGAAGCCTTGACACCTGCTTTTACTTTGAGATTTACTTTTATTTAAGTGAAAGACAAAAATAGAGACACTATACAAGAAAAAGGAGGGAATAGACAGGAAATCCCAAGCCTCTTGGGGGGCTGTCTCACAAGTCCCTAACTGATTTGCAACCTTCTGCAGTGGGATTATCTGGAGCCCTGTTGGCATGTGCATGACATGCGGTTCTAGGAATCCTTGACAACTGCATTTCTTTCAGAAATTCTCCAGTGTTTTTGGCTTGATTCTGCAGAAGGGAGGAAACTTTGAAAAAGTCAGAGAACAATGTACCAATCTAGGCACAGTGCTGTTGGGCTGAGTATAACTGCAGTGCTTACTACACAAAGATATCCACTCTGTCTCTCTCATGGCCATTTCTTTTCCTATCCTTTCTCTGAGTTAGGCTCTTAGTTTCTCTCCTCAGACTCATCAGAGAACAGGATGAATCAAGGGACCAGCTATGGGGCTCAATCTAGGTTCCACTGAAGCTTTAATATGAGAATGTCAAATATCCAAAAGAAGAAAGGGGGATGTGGGTTGAAAGTAAGACCATTAACAATATGTTTGTTGTGACATTGTCTTTGCCAGGATATCCCTTCTGTTCTCTCTCTCTCTCTTTCTCTCTCTCTCTCTCTCTCTCTCTCTCTCTCTCTCGTGTGTGTGTGTGTGTGTGTGTGTGTGTGTACTGGGGATTGAACCTGGGGCCTTGTGCATGGTAGGCATGTACTCTACCAACTGAGCTACATCCCCAGCCCCCCTCTGTTCTCTTTTGTGGTGGGCAAACAGCAGCACAAGACACAAGATTGCAAAATTCCTCATGCTTTCTTTTCAGACAGATGGTACTCAAGCTTTTTATTTCAGACATTTGTCTCCATCTTGGGTGGCAAAAAATGACCCAGTCACAGATGACATTGAAAACATGGTCTTGGTTACACCTTACCAATTTTTATTTAAAACATATACATTCTGAAATGAGGCAATATGTGGGCATGTCTGTAATAACCAGATACAATTATTTTTGAATGTAGGAGCAAACTGAGAGCATCAGGGAGCCACGAGCAGGCTTTACTCTGACATTCAAGCAAGACCACAGTCTGGAGACGAGGCACATTCGCACAGTCCTCTGGAACCTGGCTTACCGTCAGCTGAAAACCAATGAGTGGCAGAGGCTAGCTCACTTCTGGAACTTTACAGATGACCAGATCAGAGCCATAGAGGAACAGTGGTCAGGTGAGTGTGCACTAGATGATGTGGGCAGGAGACATGCAGTGTTAGGAGCAGCAGTCCTTCCTCCTGTTGGATCTTCCAAATAAGTGCCTGGAAGAGCAGAGTCCAGGGGCTCCTGGGAGAGTAACAGATAATAGAAGTGATTGGAAACTTTGCAGAAAGCTAACACTTGGGAATCTGCAGTAAACTGAAATTTTCAAAAGATAACTACTTTAATTGAGCCATATTGAAAAGGTGGTCATCATCCTATAGAGAAATTAATGTTCCCAACTGAAGACACACAAAGGAAGCAAGGGTCTAACAGGTGGTATGCTATTGGGAAGCCAGTCTAATTTCTGGTGTCCCTTCAGATTGTACTGGGGTGAATGAGTTGAATGGCTCACTGTTTAGGACTTATACTCTACGAGGGAATCCCTTCAACAGGTCAAGGGGAAAGAGGACATGGCCTTGGGGAAGATGTGGCTATCCCATGACAGACACAGACTCAGAGGGTTCCATTGGTTAGATGATTCCAAGCAATGAAATCATTTCAGTCAGACTTAAGCTGTCAGGATTAGTGAGGTTAGCTCAGCTGGATTCCTTAGCTTTGCTTTTTTATGACTTGACCCAAACCTGGGAAATACAGAAAAATTTGCTTTACATTATTCAACTTTGTCACTTTTTTTTTCTTGCAAAGCTTTCTATTCAGAGTATTCCCCTTACAAGGATATTCTGAGGTGGGAAGGTGCCCTCATTCAGAGGTTGATTTGCCTTAGTTATTCCTGAGAATTAAATGGTAGAACCCCAGCTCCAGGAGTGTAGTCTACTTATACTACATACAAGCAAATTATGCACCTCTTTATTGCTGATTCTAAGGATACATTTTCATATGAACAAGTGGAATATAATGTATTAGAAACATGGAATATTGACTTGTTTCTGAAAAGATTTCTTTTTGTCACTGTGTTAATATTTTGGCTAATTAGGCAGATAATGTTCTATGACAGCTGTGAGATATTTGAGCTGAATTTGAAAATCTCTCTAACTTAAATGACTTGAAAACATGGTGTATATTAAGAATTCTTGCCTGAGCTGAATGTGGTAGTACACATTTGTAATCATAGTGGCTTGGGAGGCTGAGGCAGGAGGATCACAAGTTTGAGATCAGTCTCAACAATTTAGTGAGGCTCTAAGTAAATTAGTGATACCTGTCTCAAAATAATAAAAAATAAGAAGGGTTGGGGATATGGCTCAGTGGTAAAGTACCTCTGGGTTAAATTCACAGTTTTAAAACAAAAAAGGTACTTGTCTGGGCTGGGGTTGTGGCTCAGTGGCAGAGCACTTGCCTCTCACACATGTGAGGCACTGGGTTCAATCCTCAGCACCACATAAAAATAAACAAGATAAACATTTTAAAAAAAAAAGCACTTGCCTATAGAATAAAGGGGATTTTAAAGTGTTTAAGTCAGATCTTTATGGAAAGGCTGGGGGTATAACTCAGTGGTAGAGCACTTGCCTAGCATGTGTGAGGCCCTTGGAATCAAACCTCAAAAAAATAGAAAACAAAATCTTTATGGAATACCTGAAATGTATATGTCTCCACCAAGCAAGGAATACTAAGCCATGTGCATGTGGGATAGAGTTTATAATCTTGTTGACCCAATAACATTAACATTTACAATAATTACATATGGTAATCCACGCTAAGGCTACTGGCATTGACTGGGCAGTTTGTGGACCTTTGAGGCAGAGAGTGACATATCAAATGGCACTGAAGAAAAGTTTGTCAAGAACAAGACTAAGAAAGGAATAGAGTGTTTGCCTTCCCAGGAGCATATTCTTCATGCATGCAGTTTCCTCTTTCCCAAATGCCTGCCCCTCTACTGTGAACAGTGAACTTTCTCCTCACTCCTACAGCTCAGGCCCTCCCTTTTGTGAAATCTGTCTGCTTCTGCAAGGGAGCCTGTTATGTGTCTGCGACTATGAATTCTTGTTGAGAGTGACAGAGGTTTCTGCATTACATCTCATCTAGCATCTCAGCATCCCAGCATCTTTCAGGGGTTAATTATTCAGGGATTATTTACCAAGTGAATAATCCTGACCCAGGAAGTTGCAGACTCGTATCAGGGCTGTGTTTTTGAAACTGGAGTGGTGGTATGGTACATGCTGCTTGGAGAGCGATTTATAGATCACCAGCAGCAACAGCAGCAGCAACATCTGGGAGCTTGTCAGACATGCAGATTCTCAGCCCAGACATACTGGATTAGAATCTGCATTTTAACAAGATGCCCCAGTGCAGTATGCACTTGGATTCTGAGACACACTGTCTCAAAGCTCCACATTTCATTAAGATTGACATTGCCGCCAGGCAGGCACTGTAGCTGTTCAATCCTTTGTGTATGTGCCAGCACAGCAGTTGCCTGGCCAGAGCTGAAGTGGATGGGAACGCTGGTCATAACACACACTGTTGAGGGGAACTAGACAGGCTTCCTCCCATCACTGGGCTTTTGAACTGGCAGCTCTCAGAAAAGGAATGGATGTGTGACCACAGAACATTTAGTTAGAACTGAGATCACATTTGAATGACACATCCAGTTGGTGATGTGTCACCTTGAACCTCTTGTGCTTGGTGCAGGAAACGAAAGCTTCCGTGAGCATGGCCACAGGGCTCTGCTCATCTGGTTGCATGGGGTCCTGATGACACAGCTCGATCCTGCCAAGCACCTGTATGAAGAGCTGGTACGTGCCGGTTTCCCAGAACTAGCTGGTGAGTTATAGTTTTTCATGAACAGAAACTCCACCCTTCAATGACAGGGGACAGTGAACAGAAATCCCACTCTGAAGAGCAGCAGTCTCAGCTGGTGTCAGTTGTGGCTCACCCAAAATATGGAGCTGAGGAAGGGACTTCTGCTTCTGTGAGGCACCCAGTCAATCCTCTTGACATTTTAGCCACATGATGCTCAGTGCCAGCCCTATGCTGGGCATTCGGAAAAGTATGGAATTTTTTTTTATTTGTGTGTGGTGTGTGTGTGTGTGTGTGTGTGTGTGTGTGTGTGTGTGTGTGTAGGTAGGAGGAATGGGCCAGAAATGCTAAACAATCTCCTATCTTTATAGAATGGTTCTCCTCATCTAAGAGTTGTCTTTCTCAACGTGCCATTTTGCTCCTATTGGGAAGCTCTGCCAGTTATTGTATTTGAAAATGTTATTTCTAGAGAAAAAAGAACAGACAGGTTATTACTATGCCTGCTTAGGTTATTGCTAAAAAATCACTCTGCAGCATCACTGATCATACTGTCAGGGAAGATATTTTGAAAACTTAATAAATTAGGTAATGTTATAACTCTCATGTAATAGCAAGCATTGAAGCAAAAATACAGGGGTGTCTGCCCTTGTTTTCATTGAAACAGTTTCACCCGGAGCTGAGAACATAGATGGGTGAATCAGAGCACCCACTCAGTATTGTTTCCAGGAGTGTAAGGTTACAGGAGGAGTGTGTGGATGTTTGATACCTACCTTCTAGGACATTTCCCTCATAACATTGGGGTTCCCCTTGGACTTTAAATTTAATCTTTCCTAAGAAAGTGTTCATAAGAACTCTCAGGGAAGACCATGGAAGTGGTGAAGGGTCTGTGCTCTGAAGCAAGACTGCATGGGTTCACCTCTGCACTCCAACACATACTATATGACCTTGATCAAGTTCTGTGACCTCACTGTGCCAGCGTTCCCATTGATTAACTAGGGAGGGAAATAAAAACATCCACTTCAGAGGGCTGTTGTGGGATTAAATGAGTAATCATGATTGGTCTATTATAAGTGCTTACAAAATGTTAGCTGTTAATCATTAATGTTACCCTATGTTTTCCAGAAAAGATTCGTCAATTCAAAAGCAAAACTGACTCAAGCTCCAAGAAGTGTACAGTTTCATAAAAGCCTAAAGAAATTTTTTTAAGGGGACTTCTCCCTCGGCATTTGGTTCTTTTAAATGCAGTTTCTTATTTCTTCCAGCAGTTTGATTTTCGTCTTAACTATGAAGATGGTGGTGACAGGATCTGCTAGCAAATGGGAAAAGAGTAATACTGTTAGACTTTCGTACCATGGAGAGGTTACTTATTCTTTTTGGCTTTTGCTTAAAGCAAGTTGTGTCTTTCCCACTTTTGTCATTTGATTCAACACCTGTAATGGCATGATCTAGAAGAGTATTTTTGTACCTCATGTTTTAAAAAGTCTGATAGTGAGAGCAGCATGGTGACTTATGGAAAAACCAAAGGTTTTAGAATAGAGATAGTTTTGAAATGGGTTTTGCCACTTATTAGCTGTGAGCCTTGGACATGTTAATATTATTTAAGTTCTCAGATCTTCACTTTCCATTTCTATAAAGTGGGAAATGTCTATTCCATAGGTTTGGGGAGAAGAAGACAGAATCCTGTGAAATGCTGGACCATCTGACCATTGCATAGAAATCATGAACTGTTACTTCTCTTCAGTAAGGGTTTGGAAATATGGTGGCATTAAATCACACATACATGAAATAGATTTCTTAGAAAACACCAGAAATATATACACAAATATAGTTTTTCATTTCTTTTTTTTTTTTTTTTTTTTTAAATATTTATTTATTTATTTTAGTTTTTGGCGGACACAACATCTTTGTTTGTATGTGGCGCTGAGGATCGAACCCGGGCCGCAGGCACACCAGGCGAGCACGCTACCGCTTGAGCCACATCCCCAGCCCCAGTTTTTCATTTCTTGATGATGTAATTGCAAGTGATTTTTATTTCCTTTGTATTTTTGGTATATTCCATTTTATTTCCACAATGAACACACATTATTTTTGTAGTCTAAGAAAGGTATGAAATAAATGTGAAATCAGGTATCAGTTTGTACTAGTTTATGTTCCTCTACTCATTATCATTTAAGGTCCTCCATTGTCAAGTTCTGACTCTAAATCTACAAGATAGGTAATAAATCATGAATGATTTCATACGATTATTCTATCATGAATATATATATTTTTTTATATCTTTGTCTCATTCTGATTGTAGATGGTTCACTTAATGCTGTAAATGTTCAAAACTGGTAATATATTTACATGATCTCAAAAAAATTTTTTTAAAGGTATTGAGTGAAAAGTCTTGTCTCCATCTGTTTTTTAAACTATGACCAGCTTCCACTGACCTCACTGCCATTCCTCCCCACAAACTTGAGTAACCTGTTTCAGTTAAAATAAGCAAATATATATTCTTATTGTATAAAAAGCTTTATTGTTGAATTTGTTTACTTAGGCCAAAATTAATTGCTTGGTGCTTTAGATAACATACAAAAACTTCTAGAGCTTAGATAAATTTAAACAGATAGTTACAATTCTTTTTTTTCCCATATTTTTTATTGGTTCATTATAGTTGTACATAATGGTGGGATATATTGTACATATTTGTACCTGCCCACAACATAACAATATAATTTGGCCCATATCATTCCCCACTATTTCCTCCCTGGTGCGCCCGTCACCCTGCATTCCGTTCTTCTACTCTACTGATCTTCCTGCAATTTTCATGAGATGCCCCACCCCATAATTTTATTTTCCTTTTTCCTCTCAAGCTTCCAAACGAGAGAAAACATATGCCCCTGACCTTCTTTTGCTTTTCTTTCCTTCTTTTTTTTTTAATTTTGAGAAAAAGGAAAAAAGAAGTTTTCTTTCTTTCCTAGCAAAGGAGAATCACAAGGGATTTCTGTCCCAGAGGCTATGATTTTAAAGAGGTGATTCAAAGGCTATATTGGAAGTATTCTCTGTCCAGAACTTTAATTCCCTCATTAATTTGGGACATAGTCATTTCTGAGAGCTTCTGGTGCCATCCTCAAGTCTGAATTACTTCATTCAAGAACAGATAACTCTGCCTTGGATGGGGAAGTATGTCTCATTTTTCTACATATGAATAACCAGTTTTCCCAGCACCATTTGTGAAAAAGGCTCTTTTCCCCAATGTTTTTGGAATCTTGGCCTACGATCAGATGACCATTATCTGTGGTTTGTCTGTGTTTTCTATTCTGTACCATAGGTCTGTGTGTGTGTTTTTATGCCAGTGCCATGCAGTTTTTGGTACTATAGCTCTTTAGTATAGTTTAAAGTCAGGGTTTTAATTAATTAATTTATTTATTTATTTTTTGCTTAGAATTGCTTTAGCTATTCTGGGTCTTTTATTTTTCTTTTTCCAAATGAATTTTAGGACTTTCTTTTTCTTTTTCCAAATGAATTTTAGGACCCCTAGTTCTGTGAAGAACATCATTGGCATTTTGATGAATATTGCATTGACTCTATATAGTCCTTTTGTGACCATTTTAACATTATTAATCCTGCCTACCCATGAATATGGGAAGTCTTTTCATCTCCTAAGGTCTTCAGTGATTTCATTTTTTTTTTTTTTTTAAAGCTGTTGTGAATTGGATTGTTTTCCTAATTTCTTTTTCAGCAGATTCATTTTGGGTGTATGGCAAAGCTATTGATTTTTGTATGTCAATTTTTTAACTTGCTACTTTGTGAAATTTATTAGCTCTAGCAGTTTTTTGATCTTATAAATGTAGGATCATATCATTTGCAAACAATCATAATAATCTAACTTCTTCCCTTCCTATTTTTATCCTTTTAATTTCCTTCTCTTGTCTAATTGCTCTGGCTAGAATTTCTAGTAGTATATTGAATAGGAGTGGTGAGAGCAGACATCCTTGTCTTGTTCTAGATTTTAAAGGAAATACTTTCAGTTTTTCCTTATTCACTATGATGTTGTCTTTGGGTTTTGTCCATTATTCTTAAGTATAACACTCATTAATATTTGCTTTAGTTTGTCCCTATGGCTTTGGATTGGATACTGAAAAGCATCCTAGCTGCAGTCTAAATTCCTCAGAATGTAGGGCTTAAGATCAAGGTTTATGTGTAACATCTTTTTACAGGAGTGTCAATCTAGGGGTGCAGGAGTGGAGGAAAAGATCTGGGGAAGGAGGAGAGTCAAGATAGGTGTTACTAAGTTGGTTACTACTTGGTATCAAGCTTCACAAATTATTTGATCTTGAGGTTACTCTATTCCAAGAGATGGAATGGACTAGTGCATCTTAGGACAATTCATACAAGGAGGAAAGAAGAAGAATTGATTTGTGGGTCATAGGAGTGGCATAAGAGGAAACTTCTATCTCTCCTGGATCTACGGAGAGTTAACAGAGAAGCCTTGGGGAAGGCATGTCCACAAAAAGGGTTCGATCATTACCCTAGGTACATATCTGATTGCACAAACGGTGCGTCTCTATATCGTGTATAACCAGAGAATTGAAATGTTGCACTCCATTTGTGTATGATAAATTGAAATGCATTCTGCTGTCATGTACAACTAAGAACAAATAAAAATAATAATTAAAAAAACAAAGGGTGCGAGATAAGGGGCTGCTGCTTTGTGCTCACATAGCCTGCTGAAGTCCTTGCTGAGCAAAGTTGTTTGCAATGAGAGCTAGGCCAGAACCCAGAACAAGTGTTGCTTAAATATCTAACAGATATTAAGAAACAGCCTGATACTTGTAATTCAGAAAAGCCTTATGGTGTTCCATTAGAAAATAGGAACTGTTTGCCTATATCAGTTTTGTTTCTGATGTCCTCTTAAGAGTATGAGACAGCAACTATTTCGTATAATAAAGTTACAGAATATAACTAGATCATGTTCAAATAGAAGAGATTTCAGATTATTAAACCATCCATTTCTGTTAAAGATACAGAAATTGGGGCCTTTGACAGCCTCTTCAGAACCATTTTTATGTACTCTATATAAGTGTGAAATGAAATAAGTAGGGTAGGCAGAGGAGGATCCTGCGATTCACTTAAATTAAGTGTCAAGCCCAAGATAACACAGCCAGTAATAAAGCCATTGAGAAGCCAGGTCTTAAATCAGTTCTGCCCAGATGTTTTCTTCATATTGGTCAACTACTGAAGAATTTCTGCCCATGTCTAGCAGGGTCACACCACCATTATTAATCTTGGTCTTAATTTTTTTAATTTAAAAGTAAAAATAACTTAGTTTTTGTTAGTTTTATTGTTTTCAGTAAAGTTCCCTCTCAAAGTTTTATATAAATTACAGTTAAGTAACATTGGAAATTATTTGTTTTATAAATGATATAGAGAAAAAAATGATGAAATGATGATGTAATCAGTGACAGGCTGAACATATTAAAAAATGAAGTTTCTTTTTTAATTTAAAAAAGTTTTACTTAATTGCTTAAATAAAATAACATTAAAATACTTTCTACAGTATAGTTACAAAGGATGGTATATCTTGAAAAAGTCTCTTATAATTTTGAAAAGATGAACATGATGTATCCATGATGTTCTAGCAATTCAGAAAAGTTAAAAACTAAAGACTTCCAACTCTTGGTACAGTCTTTACCAGAGGAATTAAAGGACCTTGCTGTGAACATATTCACTTTAGTCAACCACTTTTATGGACTGAATGCTTGTGAGAGACTGGGTGTGGGTTGTTCTGGTTCCAAGAGATCTTGAAACTGAGGTACCACCTTCAGGATGAATGGTCCGTGAGTATTTTACAGCTGATGCTTGAGGAATGGTTTGCTGAAAAGATAAAAAACTGTTTTAATAATCCCATAAGACTTTATATATAAAGTATCATTTTGTCATTTATAATTTATCCCAACAAACCTTTGTTAAGCATCAAACAGATACCAATGAATTCAATATTCAAAAAAGACCAAGCCCTTCTCCAAAAGGAACCCATATGTAGATCAATACCTGTAATTTAATATCAAAGCTGTATTTCAGAGCCAGAGTCCTCAAAAAGAACTAAGTGGAAAAAGGTTATAGAGACTAGGTATAGAAAGGAACTCTGTGATGTTTGGAAGAGGGTCAGCCCTAAGCCATACCCTCATTTCATTTCAGTTTCCTCCTCTCTGAGTGTTACTATGTGGAGTCCAATTGTGGGGGCATAGGGAACCCTGAGTATGTTGTCTGGTCCTTGCTTCAAATCAGAGTAAAAAAGAAGGGCCTCATATTTCACCTGGTTCACCTGGAAGCAGACAAAACTTTCTATAGTCATATAAGAGTACATATTCCCAGAAGCCTGGTGCTCCCTTAATATGGACCACAACTTTTGAAAGAAGGACACAACTAGATATTGAGGACACACATAGAGGGGAGGATATGTCCACCACCTCAGAGGTCAGGGGAACATCTTGGACACGAGCACTGAAACATTAATGTCAGGGCACTTACGTATAATATGTATAAGTACATGTTATTTACACAAGTACACATTACATATGTACATATGAATACTCAGACTTTTCTCTATTATACCTGACACAACTTCTTAGTAGCAACAGTGGGATTTTTAATCAAGATAATTTCTCATGTCAAATTAAGTTCTCACTCAGGTACACATAGATTTCTATTAGGATCTTCCACTTAGAGAAGTCATCTTTAAAATACTTAAAGTAGGACTAGGGTTGTGGCTCAGTGGTAGAGCGTTTGCCTAACACATGTGAGGCACTATGTTCAATCCCTAGCACCACAAAAAAACAAAACAAAACAAAACAAAAAACAGTAAAATACTTAAAGTGAAGTTATATATAATTGGTCAAAACATTTACTATGTATTTAAAAAACTGTTAAGATATACTTTCTTTTTTTTAAAAAAAAGGTCTGTATGTCAGATTCTGCCTTAAAAATAAGAAAAATTCTCTTTAACAAAATGGAAAAATAACTTCCATTTTAAAAGTATCAGTGGTAGAGCGCTTTCTCACATGTGTGAAGTACTGGGTTCAATTCTCAGCACCACATATAAATAAATGAATAAATAAAGGTCCATCAACACTAAACAAATTTTTAAAAAGTATCTTATATGTTTCTTTGTTCTTAAAAAAATGGATAGCCATTACAAATTAGAGATATTTTTGTAGCTGTTATAAAATTTTAGTTGCCAGCTACCTAATCTGATCCATCAAATAAGCTATTTCTTCTTGAGTAGAATAGGCAAGAGGGACTGTTGAAATATATTAAAGTTGCCAATGGTGTTATGATATACAAAATATGGCAGAATTAATGAAGTAGATCAGGAGCAAGCAATTACCCAGCAGATGGGACTAAGGGGTCACAAGTTTATTTGTAAGAACTGTCTCTGGTAGTTCTAGATCTTGATTTCTAAGATAAAAATGAAACTATCATGTAATCCAAGTTAAGAAATAATGAAAATAGTTTATGGGTATCCAATTCATAACTACTAGAGAAATACTGCACATATTGATAAGCAGAGCAGTTAGGAAGAAATAACAGAAATGCAGTTGAAAGTTTTTAGTTCCATGACTTTTCTTCTGTAAAATATGAGTTCCTAGCTGGGCATGGGTGCATCCTTGTAATCCCAGTGGTTTAGGAGGCTGAGGCAGGAAGATTGCAAGTTCAAAGCCAACATAAGCAATTTAGTGAGACCCTGTCTCAAAACTAAAAAGGGCTGGGGATGTGGCTCAGTGGTTAAGTGCCTCTGGGTTCAACCCCTGGTATAAAAAAGAAAAAAATTTCCTATCACTATTATAAAAACAAAGGTTGCCCCAATTAAAAATAAACACATGGGCTGGGTTGTGGCTTGGCAGAGCATTTGCCTAGCATGTGTGAGGCACTGGGTTTGATCCTTAGCACCACATATAAATAAATAAATAAATAAATAAAATAAAGATGCATCAACAACTAAAAAAAAAAAAAAAAAAAACCACAACATACATGTAGTCTCTTTATGCCTTACCTCACAAATGGACAATCTTGGGGTATCTATACAAGTTCTCTGTGTTGATAAAAATAGAAATGGTTTCATTTCTTGTCAATTTTGATAACTGATGCCACACATTAAACAATTTATAGAAGTCATAGTCATCTATGGATTTCAGGGCCTGTCCAACTTGTGAAACCCAACATAAAACTAAAATAAATTCTCCATTGTTTCCATATCTCTTGATTTGGTTCTTCCATCTCTTTTACTTCCCCCTAAGGTCAAACTTCACGTGAGGTTCAATTTAATCCAGCTGCTTTGATTCATTTATCTAGTAACCACACAGTATCCAGAACAGAAAGGACTAAAAAATCATTTAGGATGGTGGCAAATGCCTGATTATAATCCCTGTCAGCCTTAGTGACTTAATAAGATCCTGTCTCAAAAAAAAAAAAGAGTGGGGAGCCAATGGGGATGGAGCTCCTCAGTGGTAGTGAACCCCTGGGTTCAATCCCTAGTACCAAGGGTAAAAAAAAAGAATGCATACACCTTTTTGTTAATACTTTGACATCTTAGTAGACAGAAATGTTGTCTAATGTTGAGGAATTTTATAAAGAGGACATTCTCTTAAATGCTTTTTTTTTTTTTTTAAATTAATGTTTTAGAAATTTTTCTGGATCTGGGGATCCAGGTCTTTTCACATGCCAGGAAAGTGCTCTACCATATCCCCAGCCCAGAGGGCATTCTCTCTTTTTAAATATTTATCCTTTAGTTATAGGTGGAAACAATGTCTGTATTTTATTTTTATGTGGTGCTAAGGATAGAACCCAGTGCCTCACGCATGCTAGGCGAGCACTCTGCCTCTGAGCCACAACCCCAGCCCCCTCATTCTCTTTTAAAAACAATCAATATTTCTTTTTAGGGCTATGTTCTTATAACTCTCTCTCTTTCTCTTCTTTTTTTTAAAATTGTCAATGGACCTTTATTTTACTTATTTATATGCAGTGCTGAGAATTGAACCTCATGCTTCACACATGCTAGGCAAGCACTCTACCACTGAGCTACCACCTCAGCCACTATGTTCTTATAACTCTTTTTAAAAATTATAATTTTTGAGATAATTCTTGATTCACATGCTTTTGTAAGGAATAAAACAGATTTCCCGTGTTCCTTTTCTGGTAATTTTTAGTGAGTTAAATTTGCTTATGGGGTTGGGTTTATAGCTCAGTTGGGAGAGTGCTTGCCTAGCACGCACAAGGCCCTGGGTTCAATCCCCAGCACCAAAAAAAAAAAAAAAAAGAAATTTGCTTATGGTTTACAGTTTATAAAGTTAGTTTTATATCTCATTTAATTTTCACATTATGTCATTTAATGCTGAATTCTTACAACAAGCCCAGGGGCTGAATTCTCTTACCAATCCCATTTTACAGAAAAGAAAATATAGCTCAAGTATTTTACTTGATTTGTAGGTCTCAAAAGCAATAAGAACCAAAGGTGAGGTATTAAGTTGGGTATTTTCTGTTTCAAATTCCAGGCACCTTTCTTTTCTTTTTTTTTTTTTGGTACTGGGGATTGAACCCAGTGATGCTTAACCACTGAGTCCCAGCCATCTCCCCAGCACTTCTTATTTTTTATTTTGAGACAGGATCTTGCTAAGTTGCTTAGGGCCTTATAAATTTGCTGAGGCTGGCTTTGAATTTGAGATCCTCCTGCCTCTGCCCCTTGAGCTACTGGGATTACAATGCATCACCACATCTGGCTCATTTTTCTTTATATCACATAATTGATTGCAACTTTAATACTAGAGCTATATGCTGGCAACTGTACTGAAAAAAGGGAAGAAGACCTTTTAAAAAAGCAAAAGCTGGGTGCAGTGGTACACATCTGTAATCTCAGAGACTCAGGAGACTGAGGCAGAGGGAACAAAAATTCAAAGCCAGCCTGTGCAATATAGAAAGACCCTGTCTCAAATCAAAAACAGGACTGGGGCTGTGGCTCAGTGGCAGAAAATTTGCCTAGCATGTGTGAGGCACTGGGTTTGATCCTTAGCACCATATAAAAATGAAACAAATAAAATAAAGGAATGCTGTCCATCTACAACTACAGAAAAATTTTTTAAAAAAAGATCAAAATTAAAAGGAGATAAGGATGTGGCTCAGTGGTTAAGTGCCCTGGGTTCGATCCTTAGTATAAAAAAGAAAAAAAAGCAAAAGTTAAAAAAACTATAAAAGTAGGAAATTTTTCTTATAATTAAATTATCTGTTGAATGAATAACTGGTTCATAAGTAATTCGTTTTTGTCTTAAATCATTATATACTTTACTGTTTTGACCACCCAGACGCTGGATTACTTTTGTATTTGATAATTTTTAAAAATTTAAATATATATTTATATTTTTTAGTTTTAGGTGGACACACTTATGTGGTGCTGAGGCTTGAACCCAGTGCCTCGTGCATGATAGGCAAGCACTCTACCACTAAGCCACAACCCCAGCCCCGTGTATTTGATAATTTTTATACTATTTAGAAGAAACAATGTTTCTTAAATCAATTGCTAAAAATGGGAAAGGTAGATTTGGTAAGAGGAAGTATATCCAGATTGTAACAGTATGAGGCAGAACAAGTGCCAATCATGAATTCTCATCTTCTCAAAACCACACTGAAGGATTGAGTAGTCTATAAACTCTCACTCAAGAAAAAGACTTTTTGACAATATGTCATGGGATGTGGACTTACCACTGTGACTGGATGATGTTTTTCCACGATAACTGAACTCATGGGTGGAGAAACTCCCATTATAGCTAAACTGCTATTAATTCTGTTTTTTGGAGCAAAATCACATCTCCCTGTGATCCGGGCTGTAATTGTTCTTCCAGCTTTCTGATGTGCTGAAGTTACAACTCTTGGCACATACTAAAAAACAAACAAAAAACCCCCCAAACAAATGAAAAACAAAGAAATATACTGTTGGTAGAAAATTCATGGCAAAATCTAAATTACTTTTAGCTCTATAACTTACAAAGAAAATACACAGCATTTAAAATAACTGTATATTCAGTCAACTTTGATATAGAAAAAATAAAACTATAAGATTTTAGGGACTTTAAAAACACTTATTTTGAAAAATGATGTATTCACTGGAAGTTGCAAAGACAGTATTGAGAAGTCCTGTGAATTCCTCATTCAGTTTCTGCAATAATTATACCTTATATATAGTGAAAGTACACAAAGACATTGATGCCAGGAAGCTGACACTGATATAAAGCTTCTGTATAGATCTGTATCATTTTATCACATGTGTTGATTCCTGGGACTGTCACTACAATCAAGATGCAGACTATTCCTTCACCAAGATGTCCTCATGCTACCATTTACAGTCTTGCCTGTCTCCTCCCTCCTCTAACCATTCTTCACTCCTGTCAACCATTATGAAGTCTTTTTTTTTTTTTTTTTTGTGGGGGATGGTGGTAGACAGACTGAACTCAAGGACACTTGACCACTGAGCCATATCCCCAGCTCTATTTTGTATTATATTTAGAGACAGGGTCTCACTGATTTGCTTAGCACTCCATTTTTTGCTGAGGCTGGCTTTAACTCACGATTCTCCTGCCTCAGCCTCCCCAGCCACTGGGATTACAGGTTTGTGCCACGTGCTTGGTTAGGTGTTAATGAATTTTTTTTAATATTTATTTTTTGTTGTAGTTTGATATAATATCTTTAATTAATTTGTTTATTTTTATGTGGTTCTGAGGATTGAAATCAGGGCCTCGCCCATGGTAGGTAAGCGATCTACCGCTGAGCTACAACCCCAGCCCCTGAATTCTTAATAAACACTTTAAAAATAAAAAAATTAATGGCTGACAAGAAAATTCTTTGCCAACACTTGAAGACTGAAATAAAATAGAGCTTGGAATATTATTCCTGCCCAATCTCACTTGAAAGGTATAAATACTGCCTTCTATAGCAGCTATTCTCACCTGAATAGGTGAAAGAATACATAAAACTGGAGAGGTTCAGACTGAGAAATAGCAGAGTAGCTGAAAAAATACCCACAGATGATAAGCTGCACTCTAGCTGAGAATCACTTTAGAATGCCTCAAGTAAGAAGAAAATATGTACTCCAGTAAAAAAAAGAGTTTTTAAAGAAATTTCTATATTCTCATTTGAATCAAACAAGAAGTTACCTTAAATGACTTGCATGTTTACCAGTCAGTTGTTTTCAAACGGTTGTCACTTGTACTTGATAATAATACATAAGTAAAATGGCATAAAATGATAAAAAAGTTGTTTTAAAAGTGTTTATGAACATTGTAAAAAGAATATATAAATATACATTATAAGAAAAAATCACTGCTAACTTAGGTGGAGGAAAAAAAACCTAGAATGATTTTATAATTAGACAGCTTTGAAAGTTTTGCTAGTTCATGTTGTACTTTATCAAAACACTGGAAAACAACAAATTACATTGCGTATAACTTATATTTAAAAAGACAATTTTAATCAGTAATTATATCCAGGTGGCTGCATATTAAAATTGGCAAATTAATACATGTTTTATGATAAAATAATAGATCTGTACATGTCATTTAAAAATAATTCTTTGCTTTAGTTGATTTTTTTAGTAAATGATCATTTTCCAATCATTTTAGAGATTATGTATCAGTTAAGTTGACTTAATTCTGTAAAAATAAAAATTCTAGCATTTTAAGTTGTATCAACATAAACAACAAAATCAGAAGGGATGTGAGGGAGGAAATGATGTATTTAAAAAACCCAATATTTATATTTTAATATTTGAGAGGGAGACAATACACTTATTGGGCAGGAGAAATTTCAACTCTAATAGTTACTAGTTGTGTCCAGGGGTGTTACTTATGCTGTATGCCTCAATTTCCTCATTTGTAAAATGGAAGAAGCAGTACCAATTGATGATACCTTATCACTTTTCATTCTGATTAAAAGGAAAGTTAGAAAAGAAACCTTCCTAAATAGCTTTACCAAATAGCTTTAAAATCCAAGTAAAAATACTTTCCCTTAACTATTTCAGTTGGAGTTAAGAGTATACTGCCACCTATTTTCCAACCTTGTAAATTGCAATGAATTTGCTTATATAACTGCCTAATTTTTTTTTTTGAAAAATGTTTTCAACTATGAAATACTGACATTTTCTTTAACATATGAAGATGTCAGTAGAAAGAAAACAAGGTAAAGATATCTTCTTATTACATTATATAGGAATGCTTCTTGATCCTAATTCTCTTTGTTTTCTGAACACACATCCTTTTAGCCACTGGAAATATCGAGGAAGACTAGATCATAGGAAGCCTCTGTGATTAAAATGAAGAATGATATATAACCAGACCTGGGTCATAAATCTTTTTTCCTGTTCCCAACAATGACTATTTTCACATTAAGTCAGTCAACATTTGTTTCTACCATTTATTATTATGATTCTTTTAAAAACAAGTCACATTTGAGGTAAATCTGGATATTGTAATTATATATGGAAAGAAGAACACCAGTATTATACTCACAAAGAGATTTACTTATAATTTTCCTTTCTCCCTAGCTCTAGAAGTTGTACTTAGTTGAATGAAATTGAATTTTTTGAAGGGGTGGATATAGTGTGTGGGAATGGGGGGATGGAAAAGAGTTGTTTACACAGTGCTGTTTTTTTCATGTTTCAAAGACTTCAAAATTATCTCAGGTGGTCAAATTATTTTTAAAAGTTGCAAGAAAAAGGTTCTCCTCAAGCAATATTCAGGTTTTCATATAAATGCAGATATACTGGTATATTTTAAGAAGGGAATTCTGAAAAATCTAGCTGTGTGTTATCTTCTTATGCAACATGAATGACAAACCAAAAATTTAAATAAACACTCACTGAGCTCATCTGTATAGGATCACATTTCAAAATGTGTAATCATGGAAAATAAATACAGCTGAACATATGTCAGGATTGATTTTAGTGTCTTATTTCTAAATCAAAACTCCCCCACATATTCAAATATCTCTTAGCAGCCGTGTACTACATATTTTTCAACCTTTGTTAAGAACAAACATGATAAATAGCAGATCCCAACATATTTTTCTCTAAAATTAGTAGCTCACAAAAGGTAGAAATTCAAATCAACTAGAAGACTTAAGATATCAGTTTTCTGGTTGACAGAATGCCTTCTTTTGCTACAGAGAACTTTCCAGGGAAATGGTACTTGCTGGTGGCCTGCCAGGGTGGGCGGGGGGTTAAGACCAAAAATCTATTCTGTCATCATCTTTTCTGTTATATGAGAAGTTAGGAATTAGGGAGAATCATCTCAGGAGCTTTACAAAACTAAAGCCTTTGTGCCAGAATAGGGAAGAGGGCCATAATGTTGTTTTTAAAAAGCTCCACAAAGGTGAGTTTGACAAATTTAGCTATGCCCGAGTCCCTTCATTCCCTTTTGAGAAGCACTGTTTGAAGAATACAGTGAGGGGAGCAGGAGACTGAGGGATCACAGCCATGATGACTGTGTCAGGGGCTTAATTTCACTCCTGGCAAGTGCTCAAACACTATCCCCATTCAACACTCTGCTCTAAGCATTTCTCTGATAGAAACTCAGTGAGTCTAGGAAAACTATTCCTTTCTGGGTTCCAATCACAACTTAACAACCTCATCAAGATGGAGTCACTACAGAGCACTGCTGGTTGATATATCTGTATCCAGGAAAAGGAAAAGCTAAGAGTTGAACAGAAAATGTATAATTAAATATATATTAACCTCCTAAACCCTTGAAAATACCCATTAGCTTGCTTTAAACTGAGAAAAAGGTCCATCATAAATTTTTAAACTATTTTTTTCCTGAATGTTTTTTTGAAAAAAGGTAAAGAAAAGATTCTTTATTATTATTCTTTAAAACAAAAGAAATGTTTCTTTTGTTTTAATTATCACTACTTTTGGATTATGATTTTCATTACAAATAATGTTTTAGCTATTTTGTATACTGAATAGTTTGTATGGATTGGCCTTAATACAAAGATATTTTTCACCACAGAAAAATGTTCTGACTTCAAAATATGCAATTTACAGGGTTAGGGATGTACTCATTGGTAGAGTAGTTGCCTAGCATACAAGAGGCTCTGGGTTCAATCCCTAACAACACTCACGCACACACTAAAATAAACAAAATAAAATTTAAAAACAGATTTTGAATTCTTTCATAATTAGCATTTGTATAAACTGTACTAACCATTTCTTCAGATGTAGTAGTAGCTGAGGATGCTGCACCATGAACGGAGACTGGAACTGGAACTGGAAAGTGAACGTGAACAGAAGAAGCAGATGCAGCCCCAGCAGAAGTCACGGAAGCAGCAGAAGGAATTGCATTGGCGCTGGCTGTTGCAACTGGCACTGTAGGCGAGGGCTGCAGCACATGCAGTGGAACTGCTGAGGGCACTGGAGGTACTGAAGGATCCAAATGAGTAGGATATTCTTTTCCTTGAACACCAGGGTTGTATTCTTCTTTTTTATTATTTGTGAAATCTATCCCTATAAATCACAAATTTATCTCATTAAAATTCTTTTAAGTTAAGATTATTCTTCTCCCCTAAACAATGAAAATATATAATGGTTAAAATTGGTTCTAATAAAAATGCAGACATTTGTTATTTACTGGAGTCAACTGTTCAGTTAACACGGTCTGTCAGTACTAACTGGTAATGTCAGCATTAACTACTAAACATGAGACTACTTCCTTCAACATATGAAAGCTAATGATTTGCTTTAGGTAAAAGATAAAAATAAATCATGTGCTCAGTTGTCTTACCATCACAACTACCACAGTAATATATATGGTCATACAGGGCCCAAGGCTTTATGTTCTTTGCATTTCATATAACTATCCTGATAAATGGCCACATATTTAGATTTTTAGAACTATTTTCTGATATCACCCTATTTCCTTATTTCCATTTATTGCTCCTATTCTATTAACAAAAACAACATATCCTTATTCCTGACTTTTAGCAAACTATAATAAAACAATAAGTAAAACCAAAACCTTCATTTTGAAACCTCCCGATAACTTCAGATAAATAAGAATTAAAAGAAAGAATTTTGAAAGAAATAGGTTCTTTAAAACAATTTTTTATTTTTTTGATCTGGAGTGTCACTTCATTGCCCAGGCTGGTCCTGCTCTCTTAGGCTCAAGTGATCCTCCTGTCTCAGCCACTCAAGTAGCTGGGACCACAGGCATACAACACCATGCCTGGCAAGAAATGGGTTCTTGGGCTGGGGGTAAAACTCAGTGGTAGAACACTTGCCTAGAATGTGTAAGGTCCTGAGTTTAATCCCCAGCACTGGGGGGGGGGGGGTGTCAAAAAAGAAATGGGTTCTTACAGGTGGGCTATATAAGTAACAATTCTGCATATCATGAAAGAACAAATCTGCAAACTTTACTGTAGGAATACTACTCCATAGACTAAATTTTCCCCATAGCTGAATCTTAACCATAATTCAAGAAGTAAATGATTTCAGTTTCCAAAAACTAGGACAAACCTAAAATTTTTCATATTTTACATCCCCTGCCCCCTTAGTATTAGAAAGTGGTTAGTTTCCACTTAAAAGATTACATCTCTGTAATTAGCTCAAAGATAATTCACGAGACAGGACATAGGATATTATGTATACCCTATGTTTAAATGATCTTCTTTCCATTTAGAAATTTGGGTTTCTGCATAAATCTTTTTCTTAAAACTAGCTGTGTATAAGTGAATAACAGTGGCCAAAAACATGATGCACACCTGTAATCCCAACGACTTGCAAGTCTAAGGCAGGAGGATCACAAATTCAAGGCCTGCCTCAATAATTTAGGGAGAACTGTCTCAAAATAAAAAATAAAAAGGGCTAGGGATGTAGTTCAGTGGTAAAGCACCCCTGGGTTCAATCCCTAGTACAAAAAAAAAAAAAAAAAAGTTACTTTGTTAACAAAACATTGATTATAGTGCCTAGATCCTTTGAAATCTTCTGATGAAAGGGATTAATTCAATATAAAAGATCACTGCTTTAAAACCACACACACATGCTGGGTGCGTTGGCACACACCTGTAATCCCAGTGGCTCAGGAGGCTAAAAGGAGGATCATGAGTTCAAAGCAGCTAAGCAACTCGGTGAGACCCTGTCTCTAAATAAAATACAAAATAGGGCTGGGGATGTGGCTCAGTGGTCAAGTTCCCCTGGGTTCAATTCCTAGTAACAACCCACCCCTCTCTGCTCACACAAAGTTTTAACATGTTTTTGACAGAAAGTGATGCTGCGTATCTCTTTTTAGGTGTTTCGTAGCCAGGAGTAGGTAAGAAATATTTACTTAACAAAATTATCCAAGGATAATTAGAAAAAAACAAAAATAGAAATTTCCTACTTGGCAGCATTAAAAGAACCTCAATACATATTAAAAATATTAACATTTAGCTTAAACACGTAGCTTAAATATCATAAGTAACTATGTCTAGTTTTCATGATGGACTTAAAGCTGGATATGACACCATGAAACTAAAACTAATCAGTACCTAGATGACACATCCATTGCAGAATATTAGCATGACAAACCACCCCAATCACTGGAACAGCCTCAAATTATTTTTTGAAAATAGGCAGAAAATCTTCAATGAGAGACCAACCTGAATCATTTTTGTTTTGAAACATAGTCATGGCTTCGAGATTTAAGGCACACACCCCCCTCATGAAAGCTTTCTTCATGGAATCTTCAAAGTGTTCTTTTTCTTGTTGCATTCTTTGAATCTCAGTTTTTGCATTTTCCAAAGCTCCAGATAACTAAAATAAGAATTAAAAGAAAAACATTTGAGACACAGGATGAATATTACTGTGTTAACTTTGATCTAAATTACTTGCAATATTTTTGTGACAGCAGAATGTATTATAATTCTTATTACATATATAGAGCGTGAGATTACTCTTATATGAAATACTAAAAACAGTTTGCCACATACTTGTTCTGTGATTCAACTTATTTGCAAAGGTTCATCCACTGACAAATCATTTTTGTTCCTAACCATCAAGTCAGGTTCAAATAAGAAGGGTTTTTTATCAGCCCCATGAAGTTTGCTGGTGTTTTCATTATGCAAATATGTTATTCTTTACCATAAAAAAGATTTTATGCAGGATATTAAACAAAATACACTTACATGAGCCACGGATAGTTCTTAATCCCTTTGGGGAAAAACTGCTAAATTGATGCAATTTAACAGAAATTTTAAAAAGTAAATGTCATCGATAGAATTTATTAAAAAAATTTCTTTTGAAAAGCATGAAAGGAACATTATCATTGTAGCTACACTAGGAAGACAAGGGGACACATGTCCTTAGCCCTGGCTTTGAGAAGCTAACAATGACCTTGAGGTTTTATAGAAAGAGATCAAGGGTTGGAAAGTTTGCACACTGGAGGCTTTTCACAGCTGCCAAAGCAGGTGATCTTGATCAGGTGTGGTCTGTCTGTTCTCACCTCAGGATTGGTCAGGCAGGGTCTTGTCCCCAGTAAGAAAATTGCAGTTGCCTGGGGCGGTGGGGGTGGGGGTGGGTAGTCACTCATTACAAGATGTTTATCAGATTAGACTTTTTTCCTGGGATCCAAGGTGACTCAGACCAAAGGAGACAGATGCAAAATGGAAGCACAGATATCAAGTCTTTAATCCTGTTTTTAAATACCCATTGGACATTTATGGGCAAAAACAAAAAGTCTTAAGTCTTTGTTACAGTTCCTTCCTGTCTTCAGTCTATTCTTCAATCTTGAGGGATCTAGGGTGTCTGCCAATCTGACTTTGCAGGTTTCTTGGTTTTCTTTTTTTTTTTTTTTTTAAATATTTATTTATTTATTTTAATTCTCGGCGGACACAACATCTTTGTTTGTATGTGGTGCTGAGGATCGAACCCGGGCCGCACGCATGCCAGGCGAGAGCGCTACCGCTTGAGCCACACCCCCAGCCCCCGGTTTCTTGGTTTTCTGATAACCAGTCTTAAACAATGACTAAAGCATATAAGCAAAGAGTCAGATGCTTAAGCCGAAAAGTATAAATACTATTATAAATTATAAAGCAGAATACAAAAAAGAGTCAAAGTCTGAAGATACTCAATTAAATAACTGTGTAAGGGTTCTCCTTCCTTTTAAATAGTTTTGTGAGAATGGACTACTAAAAAATATTATAATTAAGATCAGGAAAAAAAATAGGAATTGAGGGTCCTTGTTTGAGCTATGAGTTCTACTTTCTGTATACAGATGCTAGGTGCAAGGATTTTAGTGTCAGGTAATTATGTTTAAGAACCCCTTCTGCATAACTTCTAGGCTTTACTAACTGTTGGTGTGGCTGACACAAGTGCACATCTCAAGTTATATTTTATTTTATTTATTTTTTTTATGGTGTTGGGGATTGAACCCAGGGCCTTCTGCATGCGAGACAAGCATTCTACCAACTGACCTATATCCCCAGCCCTTAAGTTACATTTTAAAGGGCCACTGTTTTGCCCTTTTAATTGTCCACACTTGAATGTCCTTTGACTTTTCTCCCATCCTCATATTTGTACACTTATCTTTGGTTATATTTCCAGACCAAGTAGGTGATTCCTGTGTTGACCAAAAATTATTTATTTCCTGTTGTTAAGATCAGCCAAGACTCTTCAGGAGTTAATTTTAGGAACTTTAGAGGCACCTCTAGCTTCTTCAGTCTTTTCCTCTATCAGTTGTGCCAGGATGGGTGAGTCTTGCTGACCACAAGTGGCTTGCCTTGGAAGCATTAAGGGGACATTTTCCTCTCCAATGACCCTTCTCTTTGCAGAATGTACACTGGTTGTCTTCCTGTTTTCTAGAGTCCTTGTGATCCCCCTGATCAGGAGGTTGGGTGAATTGCAGGGCCCTTAGGTGGGTCCCATTGTTCCTGGATGACCTTGGAGGGCAGGGACCAAAATACTGGCAATTTTTCTTAAACATTTTATTCTCCTTGATTTTAGTGTCCAAGTCTTGGTTTTTGAATACCCAGAAAGCCAGTTCCACGTTTTTTTTTTTACTTTCTGATATGGGCAATTGAACCCAGGAATGCTTCAATACTGAGCTACATTCCCATTTTTAAAAATTATTTTATTTTGAGATAGGATCTCACTAAGTTGCTGAGGCTGACCATGAACTTGCAATACTCCTTGCCTCATCCTCACATGTCAGTGGAATTAAAGGTGTGCTGCTCTATGTCTGGCAATTATCTACAAAAGTTTAAGTGCCAAGTGAACAACACATTTTCCTATAGACCAAACCTAAACTGCATTTTTTGAATGTTATTTTTGAATTGGGGAAAATTATTTGTATTTTGAAAATTTATTTTATATAATACTAAGAATTTAATGCCATAATGTTAATTTTTTTCTCTTAGGCATTTGTTTTCAAGAAACCTCTGTATTCTTCAGAATGGTTTTTATTTCATTTTGGGTCCCAAATATTTTCCCATGGAAACACTGCTAATTTATTATTAAAAGTCAAAGAAAAATAATTTCTGATTTATTTACATCTGCTTATAAGAACATAATTTAAATTAATATAGAATAGACATTTTAAATTTTTATTCCTGACTACATAAAGACTAGAAAAGAAGCCTAACTCTAAATTAATAGTGAATCTATTCATTTACTACATTAAAAGAAAGTAAATTAAAAGAGTTTACCATAGAAACTTTGGCTTCATAATCATTAGAAATCTGAACACAAACTTCTTCAGCTCTTGCTTGACAAGCTCGTTCTACCACCTCTTTCCATTGTCTTTGTACTATGGAACGCCAGCCCTTCCAGGTTTTCTTCAGTAAAGTTCTCTGGAAGTACTGGTCAGCTAGTTTGCATTCATAAACCTGAAAGAAAGTAATGTACAACCTCAAAAAAACACAGGGGATGGTAACTATATTGTAGTAATAACAATAAACGTAACATAGTGGTAATGTGTTAAGGATATTACATTAATAATGTACATACGTTATCATTTAATTTTGTATAATCATATTATTCTTGATGCATTTAGGAGAATAGGCTTAGACAGGTTAAGTAACCTCTCTAGTCAGATTTGAGTGAGCTTCTATCCATTATATCATGGCTTGATACTGCTTATAAAGCTAGTGGAAAAAATTTAAAAACAAAACAAAAGAAATGAAATGAGAAACTTGCCATCTTAGCTACAAATCTGCATTAGCCTTTTAATCGAAAGCAAGGCCAGGTAAGTAACAAAGAGTGGCTGGAAGGCAAAAAGGGTGGTGGCTGTAGCTTCAGATGATACTAACACTGCTTTCCTCCCCTTGGGCTTGGTGGCCACCATCAGAAACAAGATTAATTTAACTTAGACATCTTGCCATTATATATAGTGCCAAACAGATCCAAATAGGAACATAATCTTTATCAATGGATTCTTTTTTTTTTTTTTTAAGGATGGAACAATCCTTTATTTTATACACCTTGAAGTTTTCAATCATATTTCAGTGGCAAAGAGAGAACATGAAAATCAGCCTTCAGCCATCAGGAGCTGCTCTGTTCAGGGCCTAGGATCTCCCTTGTCCAAGTGGTAAGGTGGAGGGGTGTACTTCCCTTCCTTTTTGAGCTTGTCTAGCTGCTTGATGGCTCTCACATGTTACATTAGTTTTTTGCTGAAGCAAAATTTTATGAAATTATCATATTCTATCTTATACTCTTTTTGTGACCAGATATTACCAATCTCATGTGCGCATTCTATGTGTTCTTTTTTGAAAGCATGGAATTAAGAAGGAATCTTTTTATTTATTTTTTTAATGTAGGATTTTTTTACTTTACCTTTATTTTGTTTGTTTATTTTTATGTGGTGCTGGGGATCAAACCCAGTGCCTCACACATGCTAGGCAAGTACTCTACCACTAAGCCACAACCCCGGCCCCCAAGAAGGAATCTTGTAGGGCTGTTCAGTACTTTGGATTGTCAAATGGCAATCTATGTTAATGCCCATTGTTTTCTCATGTCAAAGAAAAGGCATAGTGTCATTGTCTCCTTTCTGGTTTCAACTTTAGGACAATCAATGAATTCTTTTGAAGAAGTAATTCTAATGTACAACTTTCTTAAACTATCTAAAGAATGATGGAACCTTAACTATTCCAGCCAACATTTAAGTATTAATTCTTATTATGTATCTCTTGACAAATAACTTTCAAAATATGGTATAGTCATTTTAAATAGCTTGTTTCAATATAATTAACGTGGATTTAATTCATTTGGATTTATAAAACAATGAAAACACTAGAGTATTCTTATAGGAGAAATTCTATTCCACAACAATAGCTTTTTCCTTAAATACTAATCTCTTGGAAACTAAATGCACAGAGACTACTTCAAAGATCACAAGAAAAAGAATATGTATGTATGCATATGTGTATGTATGTATATGTATGTATATATGTGTATATACACACACACACATTTCCATCTCCTATACTCAAGGGTTTTCATACTGTTTTCTTGTATGATACACACACACATTCTCTCTCTCTCTCATACTTTTCTACTCACTTTTGATACAATAATTTATTATTCTCTCAGTTCACTATTTTGATATCTAATTTAGTTCTTATTTAATTAAAATAAAAAAATGTTCAGGTTTAAATTATATAGAAACTAAAAAAAGATAAACAGCATGGCTCTGATTCTTATACTAAGGCAAGTCTACACAATAAACATTGGTACTATTTTTTAATCCACAACTATATTACAAATGTAGTAATGGTTTTTTATGAAGAGGCTGTATTCAGGGGCTGGGGTTGTGGCTCAGCAGTAGAGCGCCTGCCTAGCACATGCAAGCTCTAGGTTTGATCCTCAGCATCATAAAAATAAATAAAAAATAAAGGTATTGTGTCCAACTACAATTAAAAAATAAGTATTAAAAAAAAGGGCTGTATTCAGGTATTTTACTTTATTTGAGATGGGGTCTTGCTGTGTTGTCCAGGCTGGCCTGATCTCAAATCAATCCTCCAGCCTTACCCTACTGAGTAGCTGGGACCACAGGCATGGGCATTGAACCCAGACAGGTATTTTAGAAGTATAAACAACATAGGAATCAAACAATATTTTATGATTGCAGATTCTTTTTCTATATAACCTCATCTGAGGTAAAATCTATCAGGGCATTTGTAATTTAGGTACAATCCTCATTAAACTGCTATGGAGCAGCACACGATGTACCTACCATAATATATATCTTATGTTAATAAATTCTTACTATTTTTGCCAAACTACATCAAAATCAAATTCCTTTGAAATAAGAGCAATCATTTTAAGTCATAAATTCATTTTTACTTACTAGAAAGTAAATTTTTGACCTAGAATTCTAATAAGGGGACTAAACCCTTTCAGAAGTCTAATATCAGTCAGTGGTCTTGTCTTTTTTATACTTACATCCTGTCTGGAGTTGACGTGGCCAATTCGCCAGTGGAAGAATGTTCTCATTAACTCTATTCTTTCCTTTTGCTTGCCTATGGCATGAGACAAGCTGGAAATCACCTGTAAATAGCAATTACTTAATTATTGTGATCTTATAATAACAGAAACAGAGAAATTGACTTATATATCAAAAATGCTAGAGAGGGCTGGGGATGTGGCTCAAGCGGTAGCGTGCTCGCCTGGCATGCGTGCGGCCCGGGTTCGATCCTCAGCACCACATACAAACAAAGATGTTGTGTCCGCCGAAAACTAAAAAATAAATATTAAAAAATTCTCTCTCTCTCTCTCTAAAAAAAAAAATGCTAGAGAATAGCTATCGATCTCTGCCATATTACTTTAGTCTCATTATTAGAAAGACCAAAAAATTCTCCACATTAATACTCTAAAGATTAATGAATGCAGAAGAATGAGAGGAAAGAAATCTTCATTGTCTGTATATCTTGTTAACTACCAATAAAAGTTTATGAATATTAAAATTAATAGTTATTAACATTTAATTCAGGAAAAACAAACGTACACTTGAAAGTTTTGCTACATATTCAAAAAAGTTTTTATTCTGTAGACCTGTGAGCAGGGCCAGGTTTTAAATATCTTTCTGGTACCTTGGATATAGAAATTTATCAATAACTTTAATAATTTTATAGTTTCAACAGTTTTCTAAAAGCAAATAATAGTCATTTTTATGTACTTCTTCAAGGATATTATCTTGTCCTTTAAAAAAACTTATGAAGGTTTTTAACAAATAAACCAATCAATAAATGGGCCAAAAAACTGAACAGACACTTCTCAGAAGAGATATACAATCAATCAACAAATATATGAAAAAATGTTCAACATCTCTAGCAATTAGAGAAATGCAAATCAAAACTACTCCAAGATTTCACCTCACTCCAGTCAGAATGGCAGCTACCAAGAATATGAACAATAATAAGTGTTGGCAAGGATGTGAGGAAAAAGGCACACTCACACATTGCTGGTGGCACTTTAAATTGGTGCAATCAATCTGGAAAGTAGTATGGCGATTCCTTGGAAAACTTGACCCAGCTATCCCACTCCTTGGTTTATACCCAAAGGACTTAAAAACAGCATACTACAGGGACATAGCCATATCAATGTTTATAGCAGCATAATTCACAATAGCTAAATTGTGGAACCAACCCAGATGCCCTTCAGTAGATGAATAAAGAAACTGTGGTATATATACACAATTGAATATTACACAGCATTAAAATCATGGCATTTGCAGGTAAATGGATGGAATTGGAGAATATCATGCTAAGTGAAGTAAGCCAATCCCAAAAAACCAAATGCTGAATGTTTTCTCTGATATATGGATGCTGATCCATAATGGGGATGGGCCAGGGGAGCATGAGAGGAATGGAGGAACTTTAGATAGGGTAAAAGGGAGGGAGGGAAAGGAAAGGGACATGGGGGTAGGAAAGATGGTGGAATGAGATGGACATCATTGCTCTACGTACATATATGAAGACACGAATGGTGTGACTCTACTTTGTGTACAACCAGAGACACGAAAAATTGTGATCATGTGTATTGAATTGAAATGCATTTTGCTGTCATGTGTAACAAATTAGAATACATAAATATTTTAAAAAAGCACACACACACACAACCTATGAAGGTTTTTAAATCCTAAGGTAATATTTTCTCTTATAAATAATTTAGTAAATGAAATATGTATCTAAAAATTGCCACATTAAAAAGATACTTAGTAAACTGGGGACATGTATTCCTAAAAGAGGAAGAGGCACACAGTCTAAGACATTCATTACATTCTATTTCAAGATGGATGGTGATGCATGGCTGTTTACTTTATTCATTTTCATTAACTAAACACATGATATGTAACTCTTTTTTTGTGGTACTTCAAAATTAAAAAAATTAAATTTAAAATATTTAAAAACCTTAGAACAGGGTTTTGAAGGCAATAAAGAAAAAGACTCACATTAATATCCATTGTTTCAAAAAACATAAAAAATGTTCAAAATTTACATTATACCCTCTAAAGAAATGCGTATTTACCAAAACATAAACTTTATCTAGCTCACTGAAACATCTGAATGCTGCTTGTGCAGATAAGCAGCAAGTTGTCTGCCCTGAGTCCTTCTCTAAAAGCCACTATCTTATCAAAAAATGATATGGGGTCTTTGGGGGCATATACACTTTGTTCAAGGTGCTGTCTGGATGCAAAAAACTACCACAGACCTGAACATGACCCTCAAGTTCTTAGGAAGCTAAAAGAAAGTGAAACAAAAGGTATTTTTTTGTCAAGAATTATCTTTATCAAGGAAGAAAGACATATGTCACAAACAAAATTTGGGATAAATAAAATGCCCAAATTTTAAAAAATGATATAAAAAGTGGGTAATACTGATTCCTTAATATTCTCTTAAGGGCTTTTAAGAAAAAAAATTAGAAAAAAAATCCCACAAAAATTAACGAATGTACCTACATTTAGCAGACACTTAAAACATCAAGAACACCAAAGTCAAAGGCAAAGGTCAAATGACATTACATTGGTATATTTAATACGAAGACTAAATCCTATGGTTATGTACTTATTTTCCTATTAGTTTCTGAAATGATTTTCTCTTTGTGGTCTTTTATGAGCTAAATAATCATTACTTCCTGGAATTTATTACCTAATAAGGCATTTACTGAATCTCAATTACAAAGAGATAGAAAAAAATTAGACCTCATCTTTTCTCCCAATGGAAATTTCAAAGGTTTTCTGCAGCTCTTTCAAGTCATTGATCTGGTTGCTTAGTTGTTTTACATGTGCTGCATGTTTTTCTTTCTCTTTTTTCATTTCCATTCGGTGCCAGTCAATAAAATTAAGTTTCCATTTACTTAGTTCAGATAAAACGTTTGTCTGAAAAACAAATATACTGACAATTAGTAGTATGTTCCTTAATACCATTTCTTAAAACTAAAGTTAGGAAACATAAAAAAAAAAAAAAAAAAAGTCAGAACAAGCAGTCAATATAGGAGTCACCAAAAAAAAAAAAAAAAATCACAACATGCTAATGATACAAGTTCAACAGTCCTGGCTTTTTGCAGTTTACATTTACCACATCAAGGAATTTTTTTTTCCTATTTTAAGTTATCTTGTATGAAGTCTTGTCATTTAAAATTTTTTTCAGGCCTCATTCACTAAACTTCTTTGTTTATTCAAGGACTTTAAACGTCCATATTAAAATGGATCAGATAAAAAAGAAATTTAGGACTATCAGCTAGGCTGAGCCTAATGACTGGGAAGTTAGTTAGATAGAGGTGGTAGTGGAAACTATGGGAGTTGAAGCTTTCTTCCCCAAACCATTTATCACAATGGTCACCTTATGACAAATTGCTAGGTTTTTTTCTCCCTACTGACCGGCATAAATAAAAGACCAAATAATCATTAAAAAATATAACCTGGATAACAAAAAAGGTTAACTGAACACAAAACAATTTGAATGTTGATTATATATTATTCCAATGGACTTAACACTATTATTAGAAATATGAAACCTGGGCTGGGGTTGTGGCTCAGTGGTAAAGCACTTGCCTAGCATATGTGATACACTGGGTTTGATTCTTAGCACCACATAAAAATATATGAATAAAATAAAGGTAATGTGTCCACCTACAACTAAAAAAATAAAAAGAAATATGAAACCTGTTTCAAGGAGATAAAAATGGTAGAAGCTATGCTAAAAGATTATTTCTAGAATAATCTATTTCTAGAATATATAATCCAAATATAGAGAAATATGAATGCTACAGAACTCACATGACCATAATATTTTCCATGTATATAAATATTCAACTTAATTTTCCTAAACTATGTTTCAAAAAAACTTTGCCATTTTTGCCATACTTGAAAAAATTTTTTTTATAGATTTGCATTATGTATAATAGTTGTTATAAGAGTGGCTAAAATGAAATATATGTTGCTAAAAAAGAAATTTAGGACTATCGGCTAGGCTGAGTCTAATGACAGGGAAGTTATTTAGATAGAGGTGGTAGTGGAAACTATGGGAGTTGAAGCTTTTGTTTTATGTAAAAGGAAATATTTCTATTAGCCATCTTTAAGATTTGTTTTATTTATTTTTTTTTGTTTATTATTTACTTATTTTTTGTGGTATTAGGGATTGAACCTAGATGGGCTGTATCACTGAGCTGTATCCCCAGCCTATTTTATTTTATTTGAGGCAGGGTCTTGTTAAATTGCCCAGGCTGGCCTTGAACTTGTGATCATGTTGCTCTAGACTCCTAGGTGACTGAAATTATAGGTGTGTGCCATTGTGCTTAGTTTGTTGTTGTTTTTGAGATAGGGTCTGACTATGCTGCCCAGGCTGGTCATGAATTTTTGGGCTCAAGTGATCCTCCTGCCTCAGCTTCCCTGATAGCTGGGAATGACAGATGCTGGCCTCCGTCAGTCAGAACTAGGATATGACAAAAGCTCAACAGGTGTCAGTCACACCAAAGCTAAGCCTTTCAAAACATCTGAGAAAGTCTATGGAACATAAGAACAGTACTACAACTTTTTAAAACTGCCAAAGTTATGATTTCTAACCTAGTAGCATCAGCTGGGAGCTTAATAGAAATATATAATCTTGGGACTCTGCCCAAGACCACTGATATGAAGCTACAGTTTAGCAGGATCCCCAGGTGGTTCAAATGTACATTAAAAACCAAGAAGCATAAATCTAAGATACTGTACTCATCTTCTCAGGAAACCAGAGAATTTTATTTTTTAAGATAAACTTTTAAAAGACAATAAATAATCAAGAGTAAAACTACAGGGGCTAGGGCTATGGCACAGCTGTAGAGCGCTTGCCTAGCACAAGGCCCTGGGTTCGATCCTCAGCCCCACATAAAAATAAATAAATAAAAATAGAGGTATTATATCTAACTACAAAAAAAAAAAAAAAAAAGAGTAAAACTACTGTACTATATATTGTAATTGAACAACTACCGATACCTTAAGATTTGAACTCCAAAGATCAAGCATATTTTCCATCCTCTGAAGGTTTTCATCAAAAACAAGACTATCACCCACAAATATTTCATGGGCATCTGTAAGAGCAGAATTAGACCTTGATGAGGAAGAGTCACCTAAAAGATGTGAACTGAAAAAATCCATGACTGGGTGAGAAGGCTTCCTTGGTGATGACACTGGTGATGATCCTAGAATAAATGAAAAATTGTAGTAGTTGAGCCAAATTAAAAACTTTGCCAATCTTTTAGGAAGTAATACTGAAAGGCTATAAGATGTCTGCTATCAATAAAAGAGAATAAAATCATGGCATTTGCAGGCAAATGGATGGAATTGGAGAATATAATGCTAAGTGAAGTAAGCCAATCCCCAAAATCCAAATGCCAAATGTTTTCTCTGAAATAAGGAGGCTGATTCATAGTGGGGTTGGGAGGGGGAGTGGAGCATGGGAGGATTAGATAAACTCTAGATAGGGCAGAGGGGTTGGAAGGGTAAGGAGGGGGCATGCAGGTAGGAAAGATCGTGGAATGAGATGGACATCATTACCCTAAGTATATATATGTATGAAGAGAATGAATGGTGTGAATATACTTTATATACAACCAGAGATATAAAAAATTGTGCTCTAAATGTATAATATGATTTATAATGTATTCTGCTGTCATATATAACAAATTAGAATAAAAAAAGTTGTTTGCTATCTATGGAGGCTGAGAGAAATTATCTTTCAGGTATATACCTTAATCTGGCTATTTTAAATTTCAGTATTATCATTGATTTAGGATTAACCTGCATGAGATGCCTCCTACACTCCCCTCAGCCCAGCAAATGACCCCTATCCCAAATAAGGATGCTTTATATATCCTAATCCAGCCTGAATTGCAAGTATTATCATCCATATCATCACATTAACATGAACTAAGTACTAAGTTCCTATAATAAAAATGTTGAAAGGTCAACTCTTATAACACATGCTACCTTAATGTTACCCTAATAATACCTAAGAAGCAAGTATAACTATCTTTATTTTAATGAGAAGACTAAAGCTCAGAAAGAATTAAATAATTGACCAATGTCAGAATGGTTCTATATAGGTCATTAATACTTTATTATTAACATAATTTATAGCATAGCATAATCATCACCATTGCATTAATTCTACTGCATCCTAATCTTGCCCCAAAGACAGTTTAGTAATAAATGATTTTTTAAGTCATACTGGTACATTAAAAAAAAAAAAAGCTTCACATAATGGTCATACTCTTCTTTTTGCACAAAAATTTGGCATAAAATCTGCAATGATTATGCATTGAAATATGATAACACCAGCATAGGTCTTAATATGGATAAGATTCAACAATGTAAATAGAGAGGGGCTAATAATTTAATTTAATTTACCAGATACTCTGTTGTAAGGCACTCTTTTAGCTTTTAACTTGCTGGGTGAGAAATACATACATCTATCTATACACATATACTTATTTATATAACTCCCATCACTTGTCCTTATACAGGGAGGTGGGGAAGAGCCTGAGCCAGAAAAAGAACTCTTGCTATCTCTAAAAAGCACAAAACAAAATGAAATTAAACCTTTATTTCTCACCATGCACAAAACTCAACTCAAAGTGGATCAAGGACATAGGAATTAAACCAGAGACTTTGTGCCTAATGGAAGAAAAAGTAGGCCCAAATCTCTATCATGTTGGATTAGGCCCCAACTTCTTTAATAAGACTCCTATAGCACAAGAATTAAAACCAAGAATCAATAAATGGGATGGATTCAAACTAAAAATCTTCTTTTTCAGCAAAAGAAACAATCAGTGAGGTGAATAGAGAACCTATAGAATGGGAGCAAATTTTTACCACAAGCACATCAGATAGAGCACTACATCTAGAATATATAAAGCACTCAAAAACCTTAATACCAAAAAAAAATAAAAATAAAAATCAATAAATGGGCCAAGGAACTGAACAGACACTTCTCAGAAGAAGATATACAATCAATCAACAAATGTATGAAAAAATGTTCAACATCTCTAGCAATTAGAGAAATGCAAATCAAAACTACTCTAAGATTTCACTTCACTCCAGTCAGAATGGCAGCTATCAAGAATACAAACAACAATAAGTGTTGGCAAGGATGTGAGGAAAAAGGCACACTCATACATTGCTGGTGGGACTGTAAATTGGTGCAACCAATATGGAAAGCAGTAGGAGACTCATTGGAAAACTTGGAATGGAATCACCATTTGACCCAGCTATCCCACTCCTTGGTTTATACCCAAAGGACTTAAAAAACAGCATACTATAGGGACACATCCATATCAATGTTTATAGCAGCACGATTCATAATAGCTAAATTGTGGAATCAACCCAGATGCCCTTCAGTAGATGAATGGATAGGGAAACTCTGGTATACATACACAATGGAATGTTACTCAGCATTAAAAGAGAATAAAATCATGGCATTTACAGGTAAATGGATTGAGTTGGAGAATATCATGCTAAATGAAGTAAGTCAATCCCAAAAAACCAAAGGCCGAATATTTTCTCTGATATGTGGATGCTGATCCATAGTGGGGATGGGCCAGGGGAGCATGGGAGGAATGGAGGAACTTTAGATAGGGCAAAGGGGAGGAAGGGGAAGGAGGGGGCATGGGGGTAGGAAAGATGGTGGAATGAGTTAGATATCAATACCCTAAGTACATGTATAAAGACATGAATGGTGTGACTCTACTTCGTATACAATCAGTGACTTGAAAAATTGTGCTCTATATGTGTAATATGAAATGAACTACATTCTGTCATTGTGTATAAAAAATTAGACTAAATAAAAAATTTTAAAAAAGAATATAAATGCAAGTAGACTATTTGGGTCAAAATACACAAACTTAATGCAGACATTTCTTCTATGGTAAGAACACAGCTGACTGATACTGGCCAATGTATGAACATATAATAACAAATTCCATCATTATGTGCAAGTATAATGTATCAATAAAAAATGTGGAACAAAAAAAAAGCACAAAATAGAAAGTTTAATTTTTTGTCACACATTTATGTTTGGAATTAGAGACTATCACCATTTTTCATGTAGCTCACATTTGTTGTGAGTTCTAATAACCAGGATTGAAGGACTTTGCTCTCTTCCTTACTGAATGAATAGAAGACAAACCTCCTAGGGCTGGGGTTGTGGCTCAGTAGTAGAGCGCTTGCCTAGTACGTGTGAAGCACTGGGTTTGATTCTCAGCACTACATAAAAATAAAGAAATAAAATTAAAGATATTGTGTCCATCTACAACAACAACAAACAGACAAACCTACTCTAGAACTTGCTGAAGTTCTGTAGATTTTTAATTGTTGAAAAAATATACATACCCTCTAAGAAACAGAATCATGTAACTTAAGAACTTGGAAGGCCTGTCCAAGATTATTCTGCCAAAGACTTATTACAAGTAAGGAAAATAAAGGGTAGAGACATTTTTAAAATGGTGGCTTAAATGGTTTCCACATAGAGTAACATTGAATCACATAATAAGGAAAGTATTCCATTTTTATTTTAAAAATTATTCTCAATCTGATTCTAATATGCTTTTAAAACCTTAGTTTTCTCTAGCCTCATGTTTCAGAAAAACTGTCATTTTCTCTAAAAAATTTTTTTAATTGTTGATAGACCTTTATTTTATTTATTTATATGTGTTGCTGAGAATCGAACCCAGTGCCTCATACATGCCAGGCAAGTGTGCTTATTGCTGAGCCCTAGCCCCAGCCCACTCCATTTAATTTTAAATATCAAAAACCTTGCCATTCTGCAATACTTTGTTTTGCCTAGAGACCATTAACATTGCTAATATCTCCTTTCAAAAAAGAAAAATGCTGATTTTAGGCCCAACACATCACCACCCAACAATGTTGTAATAAAACTTAATACTTTGTTTTCAATATATTTATTTTTTACCATTACATTCATATTTTAACAAATGCATATTAATCTTATATTCAAAAATAACTGAAACAAAGTTTCTTTTTAAAATGAAATGAATTTAAGCTAAAAAGTGAACATATATTAAAAAAACAATAAATTAGAGAACAGATGGTATAAAGATATGACAGAAGCCATTACATTGATACACATATGCCTGAAAGTTGGGAAATAGTGCACTATAGTTTACAAAAGATTTAAGTTAGTCAAGCTGTCTAACATCCCATTAAATCTTTAAAACTGGAGCTGGAGTTGTGGCTCAGTGATAGAGCGCTTGTCTGGCATGTGTGAGGCCCTGGGTTCGATCCTCAGCACCACATTTTATATACGCAAATAAAACAAAAGATCCATTGACAACTAAAAAATATACATAAAAAAATCTTGGGGCTGGGATGTAGCTCAGTGGCAAAGCGTCTGTCTTGCATTCGCAAAGCCCTGGGTTCGACCCCCAGTTCCAAAAAAGACAAAAAAAAAGAACCCCACCAAAAAAAAAAAAATAAGATTTAAAAAAAAAAAATCTTTAAAACTACTAATTTTCTAACTTAGCAGTTTTAAAACAGAATACTGAATACTACGATGCATTAACCGGTCTTAATTGAACTATTTTGAAATTTACTACGTTATTTTAAATATTATCATTTAAAATCAATTGATAACATTAGCACTTAAAAATCCTGCAAGTAATATGCTGATATTATTTCCCTTATTATGTTGATAATGTTTATCAAACCACAAAATCTTGCATATTAATAAAAACAAGCTAAGGAAAGGTCATACCATCTATCTTTGAATGACTGGAAATATTTAAATCAGACCCTTTTCCAACTTCCATTGCAGTTTCTCTTACTGCAGAGCTGCTTCCTGCTAAAAAGAAAGTTTTATTTTTATTAAATGGAACCACTCTTGAATGCTTAATCATATATACCTAATTAAAGAAGGCAGTAGTATGTAAGTAAGATTTTAAAACAAAGAAACTACAATATATGCTGGTGATATAGGAACACTAAAAGAACAAGAAAGAAAAAAATAGAAAAGCCTTATTGTATCATTGATAAACTCAATCAATGAAATATAGATGAAAGAATTCAGTCTATTACAGCATTCAACTCATTCTATTAGAAATGGATTTGTTATCTTCTAATGACACTGGGTATTTTCTGTGCCTGTTTCCATTAGCTGCAATCAAACCAAAGCATTAGCTCTCCCCAAACATGGATTTCCCTGCTTCAGTTTCAGAACTTTTAGTCAATACATAGCAAAGCAAAATAGGGAACCCTCACAAGACTGGCATTAGAGGCTTATATATACTTTCCCAACTTGAACACATCCTACTTACACCAGGTGACTATAATACCAAGAACAGAGAACACCAGGTGACTGCAATACCAAGAACAGAGAACACGTGATGATAAGTTTACAAAGTCCATTCTAACAAAGCCTGCATCTGAATCAGGATATTTATACTTACTATATATTGTATATTTTAATCTTAAATTCTTTTTGGAAAAGACAGAACGTAAACAAATAAGTACTATCTTACATGGAAGAAAAGAGCAATGATCTTAAATGCCAGATGATTACCTTGAAATGTTGGCAAACTAGGGCAAGGAAAGGAGTTGTGTTACTGGTAACACCAGGAGTATTGCTGGCAACATGAGAGGAGACGACCTTTTGGTAATCACCATAAGGGTAGAGGCATATAGAGCTACAGTATCAATTTTCCTATTTAAATGTATAAGAGAATATGTAGTGTTTTGGGTTTGCTCAGTAGGAACTGCATGTTGAAGTACTTAGTGTAATCAAAATATGATCTAAAAAAAAAAAAAAACCCCAAAAAACCAACATGATCTAGACCACTGATGCAGAATGAAAAAATCCAAGGTTCCTATCTTTTGAAGGTAATAAAATGTAAGCAGAAAATTTTGTCAGAATTAAAAAAAATTTTTTTAAGGTTCTAGGCCTGTAGTCCTATTTGTCATTCCAACACAGACTGAAGACTGAGGGGCAACGAAAAATTGTTTTGAACAAGCCGGCCACAGTGGCACATGCCTATAATCCCAACAGCATGGGAGGCTGAGACAGAAAGATTACTAGTTCAAAGCCAGCCTCAGCAATTGCGAGGTGCTAAGCAACTCAGTGAAATCCTGTCCCTAAATAAAATACAAAATAGGGATAGAGATGTGGCTCAGTGGTTGAGTGCCCTTGCGTTCAATCCCCAGTACCAAAAAAAAAAAAAAAAAAAAAAAAAAATTGTGTACAGAGGGTAAGGAACAGAAACTAGAGCTGTGACTTACTGAAAATCCAGGAGCTATGTGACTCTTGAGTTGTTATGTCATGTGCCTTCAAGAACAGGGATCCTTATGCCTACATAAGTATAAACCTACAAAATGCTATCTATCCATTATCAGGACTGTCTGAGGAAGGCATTCTGTGTCCTTTGAAAGAACACTTATTTATAGTTAGCTGTTTGGGATTTGTACTTTACTGAATAAAGAATGGATAGGTCCTCCTTTCTCTACCTTTCATTCAATTAAAAAAAAAATTTGTTTTCTTTTAGTTGTCGACGGACCTTTACTTTATTTATTGATATGCAGTGCTAAGAATCAAACCCAGTGCCTCACACATGCTAGGCAAGCGCTCTACCACCGAGTCACAACCCCAGCCCTCCTTTCACTCATTTTTATCAGCTATTAATTCTGTTGTCGACACAGTCTCATTTATGGGTTCATCTTTTACTAATGTTCTCCCACAAACAATCCTCTATGCCCAAATACTGCTGAAACAGTACTGATATGTGTTTCGTAAAGTAACTTGAGAGATTCTAGGACTACCTAGGGACAACCTTTAATATAGGGCTAGGGCATTTAGTTTTTGATTTTTTGGGTTTGTTTTTTTTTGGTATTGAGAATTGAACTCAGGGGCACTCAACTACTGAGCCACATCCCCAGCCTTATTTTATATTATATTTAGAGACGGGGTCTCACCGAATTGCTTAGTGCCTCACCATTGCTGAGACTGGCTCTGAACTCTCGATCCTCTTGTCTCAGCCTCCCAAGCCACTGGGATTATAGGCGTGTGCCACCACGCCTGGCTAGGGCATTTAGTTTTAATCCAGCCATAAAACTGTGGAATAAGAACTCAGATACAACATTATGAGACATACAATTGCTATAGCATTGCTTTAACTGTATTACTTTTTAAAAAAGGAAGAGTTAAATGAAGTTGGGCTGGGGATATAGCTTAGTTGGTAGAATGCTTGCTTTGCATGCACAAGGACCAAAACTTTTAAAGTAAAGTGGTATACATAAAAACTTAGTCTTGGGCTGTAGTTGTGGCTCAGTGGTAGAGTACTTGCCTAGCACATGTGAGGCACTGGGTTCAATTCTCAGCACCACATTAAATAAACAAACAAACAAATAAAAAGATATTGTGTCCATCTATAACTAAAAATTAAAAAAAAAAAAAAAACCTTAGTCTTAAAAAAAAAAAAAAGAGTTAAAATAAAAATCCAGACAGGAATAACATGGTAAAATGTAAAAAGATCCCCTACATCACATTAATGAGAAGAATTGCTGATCTGAAGAGACATTTTCAGAATCATAATACAGTATTATTATTAAACTTGAAAATATCTTAAATTAAGAGATATTTTTAAAAATATACATAACCTTGATTATGAAGAATATTATCAATGGGAGTAGGACTTCTAACTTCTGGCACCACTTCTGCCTTCGGATGAGATGGCTGTGACTGTGAAGTACCGGATTCCGTATTTGGAGTCACTATAGCATAACGAAGTAGTTCTTCATATTCTTCCTATGAGAAGCCAAAAATCAATATTGTATTTTAACAGCTATACTGCATAAAACATTCAACCTGACTGGACCTTTTTGTTAAGAAATTTAATTACCATAATAGATTAAAGCTTATCACAATATAGTTTTAGCATTTATTTCAAGCTTGAGTCCTTCAAGTGCTTCTTGTGTGATTTTTAAATTTATGATTAAAAATGTAATCTTAGAAGTTTGAAAAGGTGACAGATTCTGTTAGTGATTCAATACAATTAAAATTTATCTACCATTTCTTTCTTATGCTTTAGATGAATTTAACTGAAGATGAGGCATGCTAATAAAAAACTACCATTTTTACTGCCTTATAATGAGAATCAGAAACTTCTGTGTTGATATTATGTATCTAAAATAAAAGAAGCAAATTGGATACTTAGGCTTATAAAATTACACTGGCCTTTTATCTCCCTCTAATTTTAAATGTACATTTGTCAAGCAGCTAAATTGGTTTCACTGATTTTGAAAAGTAATGTCACAAATTTGAGTTTATAAAATAAATCTATGATTGTAGTTCTGTTTTAATCTGTTTTCATACTGAACTTTAAGTAAAATTGTTTGAAAAAAAGGGTTTATGCTGGTCTATGTTTGAAAACTGTTAGTCTTTGTGGCAATAATATAAAAGAGTGAGTTGGTTTGAGTGTTAAACTATATTACATATTTAACATAGACATTTATATTCAGTAAATATTAGCTATAACAAATACAGATTTTTTTTTTTTTTTTTTTTTTTACAGTGTATGGTAGGTAAGTTTAACAGCAGAAGAGAAACAGAGACATTCTAAAGAGAACCTTTAGGAAAATCCAATCACCAGAATTCCCTTTACATTGCTATAATCAACTTCTTTTTTTCCTTCCTGTACTGAGGATTAAACCCAGGGGAACTCTACCATTGAGCTACACCCACAACCCTTTTTTATTTTTTATAGAAAGGGTCTTATAAGTTGGCTGGGCTGTCCTTTAACTTGCAATCCTTCTGAGTTAGCTTCCTGAGTTGCTAGGATCACAAATATAGGCCATCACATGTGACTATAATCACCTTTTTGTTAGTGATGTCCCTTTATCACAATAAAAAGACTTTTCTGAGTTTTAAATTGACATTTTCTGATAGAAAATAAAAGTCAGTATTTAGTTTACGGTTAGCACTAAAGCAGAAGGCTCTTAACACGAAAAAAATCATTTAGAATATCAACATACAACTCTGCTGCAGGCCTAACCATGGACCCTCATGGAGGAATGCTTATCTTGCTCATTGTGTAGCAGGGAAGTCCTAACATAGAACACTATGTTTTGGGACAAAGTGCTGTCAGAACACTGGCAAGCACAATTTCCTTGCTCATTTGATAAGTTATTCCCCTGCTGGTGTGGGGTTGGACTATGTAATAGTTTCTGGCCTCTTGGGTGTTTTGGCTTCCATAAGATGATATGTATGTATTACCCCTGGCCTATCATGACTGTTATATGTAAATTGGCACATACCTGCTATAAAAGTTATTTTTGCTGTGCAATGAAGCAGACGCTGTTATCTGAAATAGTCTCCGGAGGGATTTCTCCATACCCTCAAGCTCCCCACAGTAGACGTGGGAGGGATAAGCCCCCAGCACAACTCTAATTTTTATGTTGACAAAAGTAATTAACATTCTTTAAATGGATTTAAATACCCTTAAATTTAAAAAATATACTTCTTGAGCCATATGTTTTCTACTTATTAAAATAAAGTTCCCAAAGAGATTGATAAGTTAGGGTTATACACAGGTATTTGTTGGTTCCTGTGTATATATATGTATATTTATTGTTTATATAATAAAGTAATGTATATTTATTAGTTTATATAATAAAGTAATAATACAACCTAAAGGACTCAAGTGTATATACTCTCTATGGTGGAAACTGCTAGTGGTCCATTTCCCCTTTATTCCTTTTAAGTTAATAAAGTTCCAGGGTTTGACCTGGGCAAACAGCCACCCAGCTACATTTCCTAGCCTCCCTTGCTGCTAGGTTTGGTGAAAAGACCTGGTCTCTTGGGATTTGAATGGAAATGATGTGTACAGATGTAGGTGAATTCCTTAAAAAGGAAACTGATTGTTTTCTGTTCCTCTCTTCCCATGGACTAGGGGTGGTAGTAAGCCAGCAAACATAATCACAATACAAACACAATCAATACCCTAGAGGGCATGGCAGAGCAACAAGAGAAAGAGGAACAAACTTTAAGATATTCAAGACATTTCTTATTTAGTTGTTAAAGCAGCCAAAAAACAAAAACAAAACAAACCCTAATTTATACTTCTCAAACAGGCCTTTAATTTTGGCTAAGAATATATACAAGCATAGCTGTTATAGACTGAATGTGTCCCTTCAAAATTCACATGCTGAAGCTCTAAAACTAAGTGGGCTGTATTTGGAGATGAGGACTCTAAGGAAGAAATTAAGGTTAAATAAGTCACAGGCTAGGACCCTGATCTGATAGGGTTAGTGTCATTATGAGAAGAAACATTAAAGAGCTTGTGTTCTCTCCCTCATGTTCACTTACTGCACCAAAGAAAGTTCATGTGAGGACAGAGTGAGAAGATAGCCAGAAGAGAGATCTCACCAGAAACTGACCTGGCTGGACCTTGAGCTGGCACTTTTATCTCCAGAACTCTGGAGAAATAAATTTCTGTTGTTTAAGTCCCCAGATCTATCTACCTACCTACCTTTTTTTTTTTTTTGCAGGCAAGGGATTAAACCCAGGGCCTCACATATGCCAAGCAAGCGTTGTCTACCACTAAGCCATATCCCCAGCCCTCTATTAAATTGTTTCTAATATTTTTTTTAGTTGTAGTTGAACACAATACCTTCATTTTATTTATTTACTGTTATGTGGAGCTGAGGATAGAACCCAGCACCTCGCATGTGCTTTACCGCTGAGCCATAACCTCAACTTCCTCTACTGTATTTTTAATGGAGGTCCAAGCTGACTAATAAGAATGCTCTTAGGGGATGAGGCTGCTCAGTGGCAGAGTGTTTGTCTAGCTTGTGTGAGCACTGGGTTTGATCCTATATATATGAAGAAAAGAAAACAAATAGAATAATGGCATGCTGTCCAGCTGCAACTACAAAAAAAAAAAAAATTTAGGGTCTCTTCCCTCTGGTGGCAATTAGCCAAATCAGCTCTGCTCAGTTAACTGAATATTATTTCACAGACAGTAGGCAGGGAGGGGAAAGTAGAAGTCAGTGGCTTTCATTTGTGGCTTTTAGCCTGACCTCTATCCTAGAACAGAGAAGTTAAAAAAAAAGAAAAAAAAAAAAAAAAGAAAGAAAGGAAAAGAAAAGAAAAAGAAATCCAAACATAATATTTCAAAGTTCTCACAATAATCACTAAGACTCAAAGGGGAGATAAATAGGTATATAACAATAATATTCAATGATCATATGAATTCTAACTTATTTTGAAGAAAGATTTGAAAAATAAATTATTTAAAGAACTATTTTTGAGTTTCATATATGTAGATGTGCAACAAGTGGGGTATTTTCAGTTAAGGATTAGAATAAATAACATTGTTTTTCTAAATTGTCAAAGATAACCTGTCTTAAGGTAAATAACAATCCTAGAGTAAGAACTAGAGCTTTTAATTTTGGATGATCCCCAAACCCCAGTGGTTGCACTGATATGACCTTGAAATACAGTTCAAACCATACTTTAACCATCTGAGTTAGGGAAACTTGCTCACAGATCAGAGTTGTGCTTATGAGAAATTATCAGCATATAATAAGCACCACAGATATTGCCTCAGCATTTACCATCTTCTGGTTTATGAAGCCATCACATAATATAGACAGTAACCAAAAACGCCTTAAGAGGAATAGTAGTTTATGAGGAATTTCTGTATTAAATATTTGATTTTACATATTTACTATGTATGTAAAAGTATGTATTTATTTTGTGATATTTTAAAGGTTTTTTTATATTTATATTTTAAAGTTTTTCTAGAACTAGAATCCAAAATAACAACACTGAATTCATAGGAAATATGTTCAGGTTTTCAAGTTTATTCCAACAACCAGTAGGATCAAAAGCTGAGGGTTACTAATAAACATACTCTCAGTTGGACTGACATTATAAGCAGGTAACCAACTATACAAAATAATTTCTGGTAGGTCTAGGAGGCTCTTCCCTTTATCTTTCTCAAATTCCATTCTAGAGATTTATTTACAGATTGAATGACCAACTATAATCTGGGGATAAAACCACCAGGGCCTTGCTGTGCTAGGTAAAAGTGCTCTATCACTGAGTGACATTCCCAACCCCAATATTTATTCTTTAATTTAAAACTTTGACTCTAGACAAAAATGACAATTAAAGACTTTATAGGATATTTGTATTTTACTATAAATGAATTACTAAGTTCTTAACTGAAGGAAGTTTGGATGAAGTAAAGATGAAAGGTGCAAAAATGCATTGTCACCTCAAAAAACAGCACTACATGGGAAAGATACCACCAAAAGGGAAAGCCAAGATGACATATTTATGTCACAATTGTAGACCAATTCATCCTAGTAAATGTTCAGATATTTTTCAGTACCTCCCAATTTCTATATCTATAATTTCATATACTAAAAAACCCATTTGTTCAATAAAATATTTTTCTGAAATTTATCTCATATTATACACAATCAATGAACTTACATACAAACACAATGTGCAGCTTTTCCACTTTTAAGTGACGTTAACTATAAAACTTAAAGTATACCAGGTCGGTATTCTCTCATTTAAAATATAACAGAAATCTGAGTCTGTGTTTTTGATGATGAAACAGAAATAAAAGAAATAAAAAGTATTTCATGTAAACACTACCCCTTCTGTAGTCAACTTATCTGTCAATGTCCAGGGCCTGTGCAAAAGACTGTGCTGAATGTTGTGGCAACAAAGAATAGAACCTGAACAAGTAAAACACAAGGGAATCTCAGGCTCCAGAACTTTGGATGGCTTACATACTGTCTGAACTTGCATTAAAAGTAAAAGTTTCAAAACAGGTAGTAGGGCCGGGGTTGTGGCCCAGTGGTAGAGTGCTTGTCTATCATGTGTGAGGCACTGGGTTCAATCCCCAGCACAACATAAAAACAAATAAATAAATTAAATAAAGGTATTTAAAAAAAAACACAAGTAGTGTATGAAAAAATATCAGGAAATATTTTTCTTTTCTGTTAGTTGAATTCTTTGTACAAAAAAATGTTTGAAGAGTTCATGACTATTTTTCTGAAAAGTTAAAACAATGTGAAGTAACTCCCAAAAATCTTAAAGTAATTCCCAAAGTTTATATTATTGTCATCTGAAACACTCCATTGTAAATGAAATGAATGAAGAATTTATGCCTGGTTTTCCCATAAATTATCACTTGTTTAAAATAAAAAAAGTCATGACATGTCTTCCTACCTGAAGATCTGCAGAGACAGAACTGCCTGGATCGGAGTCATTTTGTATAACTGGAACTGAGCATTTGTCCTCATCTGATGACATTCTGCAAAAATACTATAAAATGGTAGAAACTAATTTTAGTATTTTCCCTTGACATTTAAATTAAAATGGTTTTAAATATATATTCTTACCTGCAAATAATCTCCATGTTATGTGTTAAAGAAAATATTCATTTAATATATTGAGAACTTTTACACAAAAATCACTGGGCAAGGAAAAAATAATGTTTATATGTAGTAAAATACACAAAAAGTCAAAGAAAAGTGTTTTAGAGAAATTCCCATTGGGGTCTGTTGAGAATAATAGATTGTGATCACTGTTCTTTAGCAGTGTGTGACAACCTGAATCCTGTGTGCTTTCCTGTGAGATACTGAACCAACAGAAAATGAACGATTTGCATAAATTCTCTTCTGGGGAAACCTACTTTTTGGGAATATTATATTAAGAAAAGCAAGCTTATACAGAACTGATTCAAATACACATACAGAAAAATTATTGAAATTCCTAACCAAAACAAATAAATAAATATACCTTAAAAGACAAATAATGATTATTTAAACTATGTGAACACCAGTTAATGTTAAGACATTGGTGAGGAACTGTAAAATGAAGTCCCTATATTGTAAACCATCTGTGACGTGGTGTGCATATATGCATATATATACACACACACACATACACACATGTACGCATGTCTATATATACACACACAAAAATATATATACATAGACATACACATATATATTCATTTTTACATTTATATAATATAAATGACAGATGAAAAACTTGCTGTTAGACCCTAAAATAACAGAGGTACACAGTACGGAGATAGAAAGAAGGAGATAGAAAGAAGGGTAGGATTACATGAGTGTGAAGAATTGGGAAAGAAGCCAAGGAAAGTTTTTATAAAAAAGATGGCCCAGGCATTGAGAACTGAAAGACGAGTAGGTCTCATCCTGAGAGATGGATCAAAGATAAAAAGTATATTCTGGGCACCAAAGCAGCATAAGCAAAGACAAAGAGGCATGGTACAAATGCTAAGGACAGCAAGAAGTTTGGCAAGGTTGAAGTGAAGAGTACAAAGAGGGCTTGGCTAAGGATGAAATGAAAAGGTAAGGAGCAGTCAGATCATGGAAGAAAATGATTTGTCATATTAAAAAGATGGATTTTTATTCTAGAGAAGTTATTAAACAGGCCCCACTGGGGATATCTCTGAAGCATTTTTCTTTGACCTTTCATGTATTTGACTGTACTATAAACTCACTTATGTTGGGATTGAATATTTTTCCTTGCCTAGCATATCTGATATTAAACTCATTGTTCCTCCTCCCAACCTGCTCGTCTTCTTATATTTCTTACCTTAGTAGTAGCACTATAATTCCATTTAGGTACCCAAGCCAGAACCTGGAAGCCATCAATAATTCCTCTCTTTCAGGTTGCCTCTGAAATACTGGGATAAAACTGCAAGTGCATAGTACAGTCAGCCCTCTCTTCATCCGGGGGTTCCACATATGTGAATCAAACTAACCATGGGCCCAAAATATATTTTTTAAAAATTGCAATATACTAAATGTTAAGTACAGACTTTTTTTTTTTTTTGGTACCAGGGATTAAATCCAGGGGTGATCAACCAGAGCCACGTCCTCAACCCTTTTTTATTTTGAGACAGGGTCTTGCTAAGTTGTTTAGGGTCTCACTAAGTTACTGAGGCTGGCTTTGAATTTGCTATTATCCTGCCTCAGCCTCCCAAGTCACTGGGATTACAAATGTGTGCCACTGCACCCTGTGTACAAATTTTTTTTCTTGTCATCATCCCCTAAAAACTATAACATGGCAACTATTTACCTAGCACTTACATTGTATTAGGCACTATAAGTAGTCTGGAGATAATTTAAAGTATACAGGAGGATATGCATAAGTTATATGCAAATACAATGGTACATTTTACCATTTATAAAAGAGAATTGGGCATCTACAGATTTAGTTGTCTCTATGTATGGGGGTGGTTCTTGGAATCAACCTATCATACTAATATTGAGGGACAATTGTATATGGCTATACCGGCTATGAAGTACATGACTCCAAGGACTGCCATTTATGATGACTAAAATGTGAATACAAGGCAATAAGAACGTAAAGTGAAGCAATGTGGGAGTCCTCTACTGGAAGTATAGGTTGGCGATCCAGTCTGAGGAATCATTAGCATAACGGGATCTGCCAAAAAAATGGGAATGGGTGAGATGACCTATTACAAGTAGTGCAAGAAAATTCTTATCCTGAGGATCAAACATTTGAATTGCATTTTCAGCATAAATGCACTTGTGTATTTCTCTAGAAAAAGGACCTTTAGCTTCCAGTATGTATGTGTTCAGAGGGGATCATAACCCTAAAGTTAAGGAGCACTATTGTGAATGAGAAGAGGGTTAAAGCCATAACTGCTAATATTTAAAGTGGAAGAGTCAGGAAAGAAGACTGAAAAGGAAGTCAGAATAGCAGAACTATGAGAGCAGTGTCACAAAGACTTCTAGAAGGGATGAGTCAGTCACATGCCAAAGAAAAATGACCACTGCCCTGATTTTGGCAATCAAAAAGTTGCTGGGACATTTGCTTAAATAATTTCGTTGGAAATTTGAACAGGTCTCTATCACAGTGGGCTGAAAAACACATGAGACAAAAACATTGAACTAGAAAGGACAGATTCAGAAAAAAGTGCAATATCAGAATGGAAACATAGGCTACAACTAGATTGCTGAAAGGAATTTCAATTTTATTCAGCATTACTCCGAATGATAAGTAAACTAAAACTCCCCATGACTGTCTTTAGTTAAGCCAATTAGAGAGATCAAATGAGCACATATCTGCAGCAAGGAATGGCTGCTTCACTGACTAACTCTTCCACTGTGGTAAGTTGGTTCATTTATATTTTCATTCACATTTTCCTTTAGGATTTGTTTGCAGATCCTGTAAGTAACAGGAAGGGGAAGTGATGTGATTGATGCCAATCATTTAAAAAACGAATGAGCTGGTAAGTATGGGCAAATCTCAAAAACTGTTTCTCAAATATAGATACTGCAGACAAAAAAAAAAAAAGATTATACTTTTGGAAATTTGCTGTTTGCCAGCTACCCTGCTTTATGCTAACAAGGTGTGTCAATTAATCTGAACCCCGACAACCAGTAACATTTTCCATACTGTTTCTAGGTTCAGAGACAAAGCAGAAAAATTAAGATTGCTTTCATGGGTGGCAGATATACATTATTCCAATACGTTTTCAGTGTTCCCTAACATAAGGTATCAGGAACCACAAGATAAAAAGTTTTGCATGGTTCTCAATGCCATGGATATAACGTCCTGGCAATTACCCGGCTGACAGGGAAAGAGGAATTCGGGAATTCAAACGCAACCTCAAAGCGGTAGAGGAAGAAACGTGCAAACTGGCAGCAGGTGACGATCCCAGTGCCCTTCACCGATCCTAGCTGCTGCAAGGAGGGGGAGTGCGCTAGCCCCTCTTCAGGGCAGGGACTAGAAGTGGAGGGAAAAAAAAAACAGTCGCAAGTAAGCAAAGGGATATAAGCTTTCTTCCATCATCTTCCAATACAGCCCTGTTTTAGTCTAAATCTTACGTTAAAACAATAAAGCGTTATATCTGGTTATCCCCCGCCCCTACTGTTTAAATGACCAGAACCTACGACGACAGTAACTAGTACACTTTACCACCCTTCCCTCCAATCCTCTCTTCTCGAAAGCCTCGGAGGGGAAAAAAAATCTAGACCCTGAGCACAAAACGCTCAATCGTTCGCTCTCGGAGAAGATGCCCCCAGAGTCTCCCGGGTGGAGGAACTTTAAATCTCCCACCATACCTCGGCCAGTGATGCAGGGCCCTCGATGCAGGGCCCTCGGGGCGCCACTATCCACCCTCTGGGCGCTCCACCAAATACCGATTCCTCACTCTTGTTTCCTTGCTGCGTCGCCGCTGAAACCACAGCAAGCCCTGCTGCTACCTTAGTACTAACCTGACAGTTTCAAACTGCAAGGAGGAATTAAAGACAGCCCTGTGCATTGGCCCCCAGCGTCAGCAATCTGCCGTTTGATTGGTCCACGGGTAAGGGGCGGGGCTTTGGGCAGCCGCGGGACAAGCCGGAATTAGGCGATTTAAGAGAGCTCCGCCCCTTGGTATGGGCTGGTTCCTAAGGGCGGGGTCCTAGGGAGCCCCGCTAGGGCTTGGGGCTGAGAATTGCGCGTGCTCACTTGTGTTCTGCAGAAATGGTAGCTCGGGATACAGGTTTGGTTTGGTTAGAGGTTGCTGAGGGGGACTGACGTCTGTCAAGACAGAGTTACTATTGGCTTTCAGCCACGCCAGCAGCCTAGGCATGGGTCATCATTATTTAGTCTAAATAAGAATCCTCTGCGTCCATAGCTACTTTACAGGCGGTGGAGCACGCCTGTAATACCAGCGGCTCGGAGGCAGAAGGATCTTGAGTTCAAAGCCAGCCTCAGCAAAAGCGAGGCGCTGAGCAATTCAGCGAGACCTTCTCATTGAATAATATACAAAATAGGGCTTGTGGCTCAGTGGTCGAGTACCCGACCGGGGGGGTCCCCCCGCCCCCCCCCCAAAAAAAAAGAGTACAAATTACCGATCCCCTTGTTAATTTCTTGAGTCTTGGATAAAGACAGTGAATTTGAATGTTTAACAAATACTACCATTAATTCTGATGCAGAGATGTGGGGGTTATGCTTTAAGAAATATCTGGCCTAGACAGCAACGCAGGCCCTTTTAGTGGAGTACTGACCTTACAATCAGATCTTAATCTGGCTTCACCACGTACTCAATGTCACTTTGGATAATTAATTCTACCCACATAAAAGCGGGTTAGGGAGATTAAACAAGTTAATATATTTAAAACTCCAATCACATAGACAAAAAATGAGTCAACTTGTATTGGCAATAGATATATGTAGTATATAATAATATATAAGGATCCAGGTGGTAAGGGGTCCAGCTCTGGGGTACTCCAGTCTGAAGAACAATAAGATATGGTGAGTTTCCCTTTCTTCTGTTACCTGAAAGATGAGGTTTCTTTTTCTGTGGATAGAAGTGGAATAACCTGGGTCTCACTGTTGGTAGAGTTAGACTTCTACTTATTCAGACCATGAAGTAAGAAGAGCCACCAAAAATTTCTTTGGCATAAATTATGTCTGTTTTCTTTTCTTTTCTATGGTTATTATAAAGGACAAATTGCTACTAATAGATAAAAATTCGTGCCTCATTCTAATATCTGCTTTTTAATTTGATTACATTTGGTGGACCCCATCCGCTGTAATTGTTGCTGGTTCACTACTCATGTGCCATCCTGGTATAGGCTCCAAGTTTCTGTTCCCTATCTCCCTTTTACAGGAAGACTTCCACAAAAAAACATAAGCCATCCCCATTCTTGTATGAAACTATAGAAACATAGAGACCAAACCTCATCTGGATGATATGAATTTAGAACTGATTCTTTCCCCAGGGTTACTAGAAAAGGAGAGAATTTAAATTCAAACAAACCCACAATAATTTAATTGCCAGCTTGAACTCTTTGTAATTATTCATTCAACAAATATTTAACATCCATCACGTGTGAAGCATTTGTAGATGTAGGGATACGGTAGTCAGCAAAGCAGACATAGTCTGCCTTCATGGAATTCAGAGTCTACTTGTAAAAAACAAATATTAGAAAACAAGAATAAGGAATAATTACAAATTGTGTTTGAAGTAAGGAGAAATAAAGAAATACCTGTCTGAGTAGGAAGTATCCAGTCAAAAACTTACTTTATCTAATAAACACATATAGTGCTTACTGTGTTCTGGAAACTATACTGTGGTACTCATTAACTCAGTTCTAAGAATATCTGTGACATAGGTGCTATTTCTATCCTCATTTTTCAGATACAGAAATTGGTCACAAAGAGGTTATGTAGATTGCCTAGGTTCACACAGCTATAAGAGCAGCTTTGGAGTCCATATGCTTATCACTCAGTATGTACTGTTGGGAACAGCATGACCAAAGTCTTGAGGTAAGAAAGTATTCATGTGTGACTAAAGGAACAAAAGCCAGTTAGATTGGAACTTAGTAGATGAGAAAAAAGTGGCATAGGAGGAGGCTGCACGTGGAGGTAGAGAGACAACTGTGCAGGACGTGTTAAGGGTATGAGATTTTATGAGTCCAATGGGATGTTTTTAGATGTTCAGAAGAGAAATGAAAACAATATGGACTAGAGAAATTGCAATGGAGATAGAAAACTTATGAGCTAATTTTGGAGGTAGTGTTGATGGGACTTGATGGACTATATCTGAGGTGAAGGAGAGAAAAGTGTCAAGGACCCCTAGTTTCAGGTTTCTGGCTTGAGCACCTGGGTGGATGGCATCCTCATATAGTGCTGAGGAGAACACTGGAAGAGGAGCTCGTTCTGAAAGGGGAAAGTCAAAATTCAATTTAAAATATGCCTGACAGAGGAAATGCCTGGAGGTATCCAAGTAGATTGTCTATTAAACCACTGGACATAGAACTCAAAAAAGAGTTCAGGGCCTGAGAATATAAATTTGGAAGCTTTTGCATATAGATACTGTGGAGGATTACAAAAATGAGTCCAAATTTTCTGGTATCTATGTCCTTTGCCTTGTAACTTTGCCTTGTTTTCCCACTAATGATCTGGAGGATCTACTTGATGCAAGCAGAAACTTTTAAAATGCTTATGTGATTGCCTTGGCTTGCTCCTGCCCTCAGTTATAACCATGAATGCATGATGAGGCTAGCCTGCTGAATGAAGAAGATACATGTAGTACAGCTAAGTTGCCTCAGTCATCACAGCTAAGACCATCCAAGATAACCTTATAGCCAACTTGATGTCCACAGTGGTGTTTGTGTCCAATCAAGACCAGCAGGTCTATTCAGCCAACCTTCAGAGTCACAAACTAAATAAGTATTGTGTGTTTAAAGCCTTTGTGTTAGGGTGGTTTGTTATGTGGACTTATTATAGCAATATAGAATTGATAAAGATATAATATTTAAAGCTAAAGAACTAGGTGAGAAAGTGTGGGGGGACACAGTGGATATACAAGAGCATTCATAACTGAACCTGATGTTCTCTAATGTTTGGAGATTTGGTAGCAATGGAAGAATCAGCAAAAAACACTGAGACGGAGGTGCTGGAGAAGTAACAGGAAAACCAGAAACTTGACTGTTGAGAATTTGCTCTAGTGTGTTTCTTCTTTGGATCCCCACCATTTTTGGTTAAGCCATTGTTGAATTTGGCCTGGTGTTTCTCGATTGCACCCCTTCATTTCCTCTTTCTACATTACATTCTTTGTGCTGCTCATAATTTTTAAAAAAATATCACTGGATTGGATTGTATCATTTGTTTCTCAGAATCCTTCCATGTTATTGCAGGCATTCAAAGCTCTTATAAGTCTAATCCCACCGAATATCAGAAGGGCTAAATTTGAGTCCCCCAATTTACCACTTACTAGGTGCAAAACTGGGAAAATTGTGTAATCTTTATAACTATAAAGCTCCACCTCTTCAATGTTAAGAAAAATAATAGAACATAACATATCTAAATCTAAACCTGAACTGGAACCTAAATCAATCTATTTATCTATATCTAGTTCATAGTAAAATAATCAGTAAAATAATCAAAGGTGGGCATATTACCTGTCTACCTAGACTCCATTTTCCACCCTGCCTTTCAGATAAGTGAGGCCATGGATGAATGCAAGTGAAGACAGAAGTGAAGTCTGTCACTTCCCGAACTGGGATATGAGACATAGGGTGTGCTTTCTTCAAGTCTGATTCTCCTTTCTCACTGTTGGGCTGAATGACCACATGGAATAGAATTCCTCTGCTAGTTATGTAATATGAGAAAACAGACAAATCTTGTTTTTTTCCCCTGTATAATTATATTTTGAGTAAATATGCTTCAGTCTTTAATAACACATCTACATCTATATAGATAAGTATATAAAGTCATTGGGAAGTAATATGTGTAAAAGCATTTGAAATTTTTAAAAAAGACTAACCTGTTGCTGGATGCAGTGGCACATGCCTATAATTCCAGCTACTCAGAAGGCTGAGGCAGGAGGATTCCAAATTTGAGGCCAGCCTGAATAACTATTATAGTTTGGATCTGGAGTGTTCCCCTAAAGGCTCATATGTTGAAGTCTTAGTCTCCGATGCCAGAGTGTTCAGAGGTGGGGCTCTTGGGAAGTGATTTGATCATGATGGCTCTGACTTAATCAGTGGATTAATGCATTGATAGGTTCATAGCTTATGGTATTATTAGTAGGTCATAGAAACTTGAGTAGGTCAGGCCTAATTGGAGAAAGCAGGTAAATAGAGATGTTCCCTGGAAGAGTATATTTTGTTCCTGGCCCCTTTCTCTCCTTACACCTCACTTCCTGGCTGCCACAAGGTGAACTTTCCTCCAACATGCCCTTCCACCACGACGTGTTGCCTCATCTCATGCCCAAAGCAATGAAACCAGCCAACCATGGACTGAAACATCTACAACTGTCAGACAAAAGAAATCTTTTCTCCTGTAAGTTGATTTTCTCAGTATTTATCACAGTGATAAAAAGCTGACCAACATAGCAACTTTGTGAGATGCTTTCTCAGCTGAAATACAAATAGCTGGGGGTTTGGGGGTTGCTGCTCAGTGGTAGAGTACTTGCCTTGCATGTGGAAGGCAGTGGGTTCAATCCTTTATAAAAATAAAATAAAGGCATCGTATGAATTACCACATGGAATAGAACTCCTCTGCTAGTCCATCTACAACTAAAAAAATAAAATAACTAACTAAATAAATAAAATAAAGTTATATATTAAAAAAAGGGCTGGGGATGTAGTTCAGCAGTAGAGCCTTGCCTAGCATGTACAAGGCCCTGCGTTCAGTCCCCATATTGCTAAAACAGACAAACAAGCAAACAAAAAGCTTACTTACTTTTAAGTCAGCCAAGTGAGATAGAAAGAACATTGGTTTTGGATTAATAAGATCTGGGGTCTAA